TGGAGCATTCTACCGGTCCTCTTTTGCAATTCTATCGCATCACGCTTCCACGATGCAAACATACTCGGGATATAGCGCATCCAAGGCAGCAACTCGACCTACTCCGAGCATCAGTATGACTCTTCACTCGGCACAAGCGAACAAATGACCCAGTATTTCCCAGGTAATGCAGCTACACCCAACTGACGGACGAACTCGATGATACCACGAGCGCGAGGGTCATCTTCGCTAGCGATCTACGGCCAATGCTCAGCAAGATCGTGCGCCATCGAGAACGTGAACGCTCACCGAAGACTCGCCATACAGACAAGACAACATGACACTTGCAGCAGCACGACCCATCTGCATGTCCATATTCTTTGAGCTCTGTATCAAGCCGCGGGCGAGGACAAGCGCTTCTCTCGTCTGATACTCTTGAAACGCGCGAGAGGCGGCCTTTCCCAAGGCCTCGTGCGAAGCCTTTCTCATCGCGCGCCATCTGCATTCCATCTTCAGATCCTAGACCCGCTCAATATGCGCCGACACAACATACGTGTCGTTATAGGCGATCAAGGGAAAAAATAGACCGGCTGCCATCATTTCCGACGCGACGATCTGCTTCGGTCTGTCGGAGTATATGACTGAACGCCGGTCAAGTAGGTCGGTGGCGGCCTTGCGGCTGTTGAGAACGATGATGGGCTTCCCGACGGCGTTCAGGTAGATGACATCTCCTACCACAGAGTTCACAGTCAGGAATAATCCGGACAACACAAGGCGTAGACATCGTACCGTAAATTTCGCGCCATTCGCTGTACTTGAACCACGGCTGCACTGCGATCTGCAGCGCGTTTCCTATCAGAGGCAAACCAGGAGGCCCAGGAGGTAGTTTCCGCCACGGACTCCGGATGTAGCGAACGAGACAGACGGTAGTGAGCCCTACTATGACACCAAGAGATACCACAGGATAGTGATACAGCGCATCAATGACCTGGTCGTGTGCGGTGAGGACTCCGGCTCTGGAGACGAAAGGGAGCATTGTGCGATCGTCGGCCACGGCGGCATGGGCGCAGGTTCCAGTACCTATATACGCATGACTCCATTCCCGGTGTCATGCAATGGGGTTAAACGCGCACAGAATTCGGATGAAGACCATGAAGAGCATTAGGATTTGACATGGCGTCGGCCTGTGTGTCCAAGGTGGGCAAATACCTCACCCCGTCGAGGTGAAAGTTGGCACCTTCGAACCTTGCGTCACGGTCCATTTGCGTGCTTCGGATCGACATGGCAGTTCTCACAGCGCTGGGCGCTCAGCTTTCGGTGTTGCATATGGGGCAGCTATCAAGGATGCCCGAGCCAAGAAGGCGCAGAGAACGATTTAAACGCGATGGTGGTGGTGCAGGACCAACGCGCGGGCCCAGCTTCACCGTGAGGCGCATCCTTGCCTCTGGTTCGAACTCGCACGTACATCAGTACTTGCATGCAAGTGCGAGTAAGCGTGCAAGCGAAACGGGACACAGTGTGATAAGAATCGGAAGCGACGCCACTACAAGCGAACGAATGTAGCTACAGAAAGCAAGGCAACGGGACGACAGTTATAGTATTACATACTGGTACTATATATTGCACTTTCCTCCTCTGGTCCAGTATCATCATCTGCAATGAAAACTCTTCCACTATTCTAGCCTCCCGTACTCCGCGAGCGCTCGACCCATCCTTCCTCCAAGGCTCCCGGGCCCCCGAGTCCGAACCGAGCTTCACACCTGGGCATTTGCAGTTGACCGACCACCGCGCGGCTCTTCATTACGGCTTCCTCGCTCGCGCTCGCCATCGGGAGGCGACGACGCGTCCGCAGCCTTGAAGCTTGAGGGGCTCGTGCACGGCTGCGAACGTGCGAGCGAGATTGATCCTGCAGTGCGCGAGCAAAGTATCGGCGCGATGGCTGACGCGAGGGGCTGCCGAGTGGCGGTAGGCGGATAAGCATGACTTTGCGCGCCGTTCCGAGTCAGAGGGGGTGCTCGGTCAATCACTCATCAGCTGGAGTGGGATATGCTGCGAGATGTTGGTGGCGGCGGATGGTGGTGAGCGACCTTCCCGCGTCTTCCGCCTCGAGGCTAGGGCCGTGATGGCAACTTTCGAACCGGACAACAACTCTGCCCGTCAACCTCGCCATAAGTACTACCATAACAAGCCCACGATCACGTTTATCCTAAAGTACAGCAGTGCGTAAATACTCTCATAGTCATTCGAAGCGATACAAATATCTAAGGAAAGCTGCACACACGGCGGATTGAATGGTCCGATTTACGCGCGGATCCTGCACGCCGAGCGCGTATGATGGACCGGTGTGACGGCGCCGCCTTGATAGTAGACATCGTGGTATCCCTTTCGGTGAGGGGAGAGATCGAAGGTCGCGGCAAGACCTTTGATCGTCGGACTGCACGCAATATCTGAAGCTTGACCTTGATCGTGTCCTCTATCTCCTTCTCGGGCTTTTCCGGAGGGCGCGTTTGTATGCACAATCGCCAAGCGTCCATCAGACACGACTCCGCTTTGTCAAAATCATCGAGATCGCGGTATACAGACGAAAGTAGGTGAAGTGCCGTTGCCCGCCCTCCGGTATACGATAGCTCGTGAAAGATGTCGTAGGATGAGCGGAGGAGGGTTCTCGCCTCGTCAGCACGGTTTTGGCTTCGGCGTAAGGATGCTAAGGCCAACCAAAGCCCTGCTTTGTCCCCGCGGTGGCGCGTGTCATCAAGAGAGCACAGGTCAAGTGCAGTCTTCAATGCGCGTTCAGCATCCCCAAGACGACCGACTTCTTTACAGAGTTCCCCCAGCTTCTGTAGACAGACGACTTGACCGTGTCGATCCTGTCGATCTCGGAAGATGCGGAGAGCTGACTGCAGCGAAGCCTCCGCTTTGTCAGGTTTCCCAGTCTGAGTATATAGCGAACTCAGACCGATCTGGCAGCGTGCTGCCCCCAACTCGTCGTTGACCTTGTGGAATAACCTCTGGCCGAGATGCATGACGTGCTTTGCCATCCTTGTATCTCTCAGTCTGACATAGAACCTGCCAAGTGCATAGAAGCACTCGGCTTGGCCATGGGTGTCATGATTTGAGGAGTGCAGACGAAGCGCAGCTGTCAACAGATCTCCAGCCTTGTGGAACTGGCGCTGTCCACTGTATATGACGCCCAAGTTGAGCATACAGCTAGCAACTCCGCGGTTGTCGTGCGCTTTGCCGAATATGACTAGCGCATCCTTTAACATCTGCTTCCCTTCGTCGAATCGGCGAGGCGTGTCGATATAGATCGAGCCAAGACACGACAGACTTTCTGCTTGCGCCCAGTAGTGCCCCGTTTCTGCACTTATATCACAGGCGAGGCGTAGATTCGTCTCGGCTTCGGCATGCCAGCCAAGATGTCTGTATGTGTCTCCGATGTACTTCAAGCACTCTCCCTCGCCTCGTCGATCCAGAGCAGAACGATACTGATCGAGTGCGCTGGAATAGATCGCAAGAGCTTCGTTGTAACGCCCGCGAAAACGCAAGTAGTGCCCTTGCGCGTCTCGTAACTGCGCACCGAGTAGCGGATAGTTATCCGAGCACATGATAGCATCGCAAAGCAATGAGTCGTGAAACACATATCGCGATCGGGATAGACGGGCAAACTTGACAATGGACTGAAGTGCGCGTTCGAGGCGAGACGTGTCGCGAGTCAAGCAGCCGGTTAGAACGGTTAAGATGTTCTCCATCTCAGGGGCCAAGTTGCTCTTCAGATACTTGACTCGAGGTCCGAAGTCGTCCGACTGAAAATCCACCAGAGCGCAGTATATATCGGACAGATGCCCGAATAGAGAATCGTGGATTGGATATCGAGCGCGGACATAGTGCCGTATGGGAGAAAGAACGCGCAGGAACGGTTCTTTGGAGTCGGTCGAGTAAATGAGGGAACACTGCTTGAGTAGTGTAATGGATTCGTAGAACTCCGGTAGAGTGCCCTCGAAAGCGTCCGCGAATATCGAGATTCGAGATTCCCGTAGACCCTGCGGGAGATGGCATAGCGTCCCGAGGAGCTGCTGAGTCGCGTTATCGTCGCGTAGACGCGGGCTATCGAGGGATAGCTGAATGGAAGTCTCGACGCTCTGAAGACGATGATCGGACGATTTACGCCCTCGCCGCAGGCGTAGCAGTCTGGTCTCCTCGCGCTCCCAACGGGTCCAGAGCAATTTGGAGGTTTCGGATTTCGCGATCTTGGCAAGTAGTGTCACTGCGAGAGGCACGCAGTCGACAGCCCGCACTAGCTTCTCGGCGTATTCGTCATGGCTTTGGCAGAAAGCATCCCAAGTCTGCATGGACGCTTCGAATGTCAACGGCATGATAGGAGGCAAGGCCGGCTGCGTCCAAGCAACTTGTCCAGGCAGGTCCGTGATGCGCATCGTTATGACAAGCGAGAGCCGGGTAACATGCGCCAATTTGCCCAAGAAGGCCTCGATGGCCTCATCATCCTCGTCCCAGGGGGTCTCCATATTGTCCAAGCACAGAACACCGGGCTCTCGAGTACGAAGGTGGGACAGCAGAGCATCAGAAAGCGATATCTTCCCCGTGGGATCTACAGCGACGTCGAAGAGCTTTGCGAGTTCTTGGATGATACCATCAGCGGTGTGGACGGCTTCACAGGACACGAAGAACCGTTGCTCGGCGAAGCGTTCCTCAACTCGGGCGTCGTGGAGGACAGCAACAGCGATGGACGTCTTGCCAATGCCGCCGGGGCCAAGGATCGCGATGCGTGCCGGAGCGTGTCGCAGGACGAGGTCCACAACGTGATCGACTTCATGAGCGCGACCGTGGAAGATGGGCGGGGGTGGAGGAAGAGAAATAATCGTTCTGATGAAAGTCGATGTGAGATTGGACACATGAAGCAGACGTGCAGATGCGTACGGGATGACTATGTCTGCGATGCTCAGGGAGGGTGAGGGCTGGTAACGGAGTTACGAGTATGTGTTAGACTCAATCTCCAGCTATCGAAGGGATAACGTACCGTTTGCCCGTTCTGCAGGAGATCCAGAATGGCATGAACTGCGATAGACTGGTCCACTTGCAGCTTCGCCTATGGAAAGTTTAGGGAGATACCTAGCGACGAGTGTGCAAGGAAACATACAATGAAAAGACTCAACGCGGCTTGCATCCGAGTTTGGCATTGCTTGACTTCGTCCATGAGATCATTGCGATTCAGTGCGGTCCGGACGCGATCGCGAATGCTCTTGGAGAGAGACCTGCACTTCGTCAAGATCTCGAGGGCCACGACGACACTCCTACACAGGATGAGTAACGCTGGAACTGGTTCGAAGGTTAACGTACTTCTCCAATTCAATCAGAGCTTCCTCAAGGGCCGGTGGCAGCCCACTTTCGCCTTCACTATCGCTTCCATACTGCACGCTAACCACGTCGATGATCGCCTTGATCTGCTTCGTGATATGCATCGTTGTTTCCCAATCGGACTTGAACAACTCGATCTCCTGCGTGGTGTCAGCGTCTTCTCCAAGAGTGCAGAGTGCAAGAACCGGGCTCACCCCAAAGATCTTAAGCAGCTCAGATAATACTCCAGACACGATGCCAAGGTAAGGTACGTTCTGCGTCATGTCCGCCGCCACCCCAAGAAGTTCGACGGCCGTCTTCATGGCACCTTCGGCATCGCGTTTGACGTTGTCGCTTATACCTAGGAATAAAACCGGTTAGCAACACATCCCATGGCGGAAGGCAAGTAGAGAGGAGCGCACGAAAGCGCCGGGCAAGGCCTGCGACACCAGGAAGCTCTACCGTGCTTGCACGGTTAGGCGATGACATCCTCAAGCAGGTTGGCTTGCGAGAGGGGTCGCCTGTTGCGAGAGATGGCGGGACGGAGCAAGCCCTAACATCCCAAGTCGCAGTTCACAGAACGCTAAGGGCGTTCACATGTGGGCAGTGTATTCACGAGGGCGGTCTGTGCGCGCGACTGAATGGAAGGCGATGATGGCGCGTTCCATACAGCAATATGTGCGCACGGAGGCCAGCGTGCAGCACAGCCAACCGACAGGCTCAGCTTGCATTGTTTCCCTGCTCCTACATAGCATTCAACAAGGGTCACTCGTTGAGCGCTGAGCGGTGACAACTTGACAAGCCGTGAAAGTTGCAGATTGTGATCATTGTTCGTGAGAAGATGATGGTTCGGGGCAAGGCGCGGCTGCGATGACGCGCACGCGTTTTCAACTACTGTAGCTTCGCTCACGCCAGGCTTTCGTCCATGACCTATTCTGCTGCTATAAAGATGGGCTCTGCGTACTCCCTCGAAGGCTTCGTGAGCGTTGTTGGCAAACTCATCAGTCACGGGCGAGCCAATCACGATGTCCGTAAAGCAGAGTAAGAACGAGACTATAAAAGGTCCCGTTCATGCCACCGATGTATCAAGTAACTTAGTAAGGGCATCGGCGAACAAAATCCAGATCATCGTTGAATGAACGGTATGGTATCTAGATGAACGGGGTAGTTGCCCGGGAAACGATAAGAGAGAATCTCATGTGGACGGGGTGATATACACTGGAGTAAAGATGGGGGATGCAGAAGCTACCATGGCAAGATGATTCAAACGGGTCGTGCTTGAGACAGAACTCGCTCAGTCTGAAGCCCTTCGGGCGAGCATCGTCGCCATGGCGATATGCTATCCGCGCGCTCCGAGACGGTTCTCCACGTCGACTGTCGATTCAAGATCCTGACAGGGCTCAGAATCGTCATAAGGGGGTGATGTCTTCGTGATGGAGTATCCTCGTTGCGTAGCTTTGTGACGAATGGCCTCCAGAAGGAAGTGTGAGGACTAGGTGGATTGTATACGACGTCCTTGATGTCGCCGTCCGGGGTCGAGCCCGCTGTGATAGGGACATCGAGGGGCACCCGCGGATCAAGATGATTGACGAAGAATATACTGAAACTTGTCAAACATCATCTTCGCACGAGGTCTTATGCATGCGTGCGTACCTCCATCTGTCTATCCAACTCAGTGCGGTGCCAGTTGTCTCCTTCCGTTTGCGCAGAAGCCTTCTCCGGCTGACTGAATTCACCTAGAAGGCTCCGATGGGCGGTATCGTCTTGCTGCAGGAAAGCAGTACTGTAGTTGTAGACAAGATCTATACGATGTAGTGAGCAAAGAGTACCCATAAGATCTCATACAAAGCTCGCGCTCACCCCCATACGGAGAAGACATGCGACCATGATTCAGGAAAGTAACATCGAAAACAGGATCTAAGAGCCACTTTCAGCATAGCTCTTTGCAAGTCGATGGGTGGCTGACCTTCGCGCCGGACAGAATTGACGATAGTACTGTAGAAACCCGGTGAATGGCCGAACGATGGCGAGAAGTTCGGCGAAGCTGGCCGAGAATATTGAGTCAGGCTCCGTTGTTCCGGAGTCTGGATGAAGGACTGAGGTCGGAGGAAGGAGGGGCTATCGTGATATGGTATATACACAGCTGCATACTGCGCAGTCCGACCTTGGTCGGATCCTTCGTGAGCGTTCGGGGATGGAATCGCCTTGAATGTGGTGAGCCAAGACGTAGTAAAGCGATGAGCAAGGCTGATACCGAGAATAGACCATATCCTACACGCAGCGCGTTAGATGCCACGGAGCCCGCATCGGTGTCATTGACAGCAACGTCCCAATGCTCTGGCAACGGACGGGACGCGGGTGCAGGACCCGACTGAACGTAGGTGTGCCATTCGGGAGTGGTGGGCTGGTATGTTGGCGTGTATGGCACGGGAAGCATCGGGGAAGACTTGCAGTATATCGATGGTGAAGGCATCTCGTGGAGGCAGAGGACAAGTCGAGATCCTTGCGCAGGGTTCGCGCACTTCACAGATGTCCTCGGGCGTCTAATGATGACACCGCCTCAACGCGGAACCGAGTGTAGCGCGCATGACCACCTAGCATAGTAGCTGTCGAGGTTCAGGTTGTGGGTTGGCATACAGGCAGTACACTTTGTGCGTGAGATGCTCGTGTAGTTACAGGTAAGAGTTAACCTTAGAAGGAGATGGAGGGAGGAGACAGGTCGGATAGGCGACGCGCTTGATGCGCGTCTTGCCTCCAAACTCGACGGCATCTTCGCACCTGGGCCCAACCTGGCCACAGCCCACCTTGCCCGCTGCACGTCATCATATCTTGTATTATCTTGAGAGGTTCTATGTTATCAAGCGCTACGGAGAGGATGCATCTCTGCATGCTCCCGAAATTGCTCCCAATACATACATCTCAAACGAGTCGCTTCTCCCGTTCTCGACGCGCCTCATCGCTAGTGGTGTAGAGCCTCGCGGTCTGAGTTTCCATGATCCAATGGCTGCATCAACCGTCTGAGCGCTCCCGGAGTACACTCCGACCCTTTCATCCTCTTCAACTACAGCGACATTGCAATCAGCTTGCGTGTCGCATGATCGAGGTAGTCGTAGGATGGGATCTGTTTGGTGAAAGTCGAATATGGGTTCTCTTGAGACGGGATTGAAGAGGCTTACGGTCACGCCGAGCGTCCTTGATGATAGCGCGGAAAGCTTCAGGCGATTGCTTGGGAGGTGATATCTCGATTTGAGCCGTTTCCAAACCGTAGAGCTGGCCGAGTCCGTCGGCAGTGCGAGCAGTGTAGGTGGATGCCCGCAGTGAGGGAAGGATCGGGGTTGCATCACTCGGCTGGGTGACTCCCCATGCATCGGGGTCCTTGAGAGAGGTCAGACGGCATCGGGTAGGTCATGATCGAAAGTAGACGGACTAGCAGAGTGCGTAACAAGTCCATGTCCTCTGTCTCCGGTGAAGCACTAGAAAGGATCGAGGAGTATGTGTGATTGCTATACTCCCACCAACACCGATGAGCCTCCCGTTGTAAAGTTTTATGTATATTGCTAGAAGGGGTGTCGGGTTGGTACGGGGAGACAAGTGGCTCTGGATACGTGGATGGAAACGGGTTGGGGACTGACGGCGAAGACATCTCGTCTGATCAATGGAAACGACAGGCCATTCGCCTTGCGACCTTCTCACATTTACATACTGTGTGCGGGCGCCTGATAGCATCGCCTCAAGACAGGACCAAGCATGACACATGACTGGCGAGTACGATACCTATGAGGTTCTTGTCGAGAGATCGGCACAGCTCCTCGTGCGTGAAACACTTCCGTGTGTGTTTCGAAGCCGCTTCCAGCTAGAGCACTGGCAGCACCTGTACGAACGTCTCACGCAACCGCACCGATACTGAACGACGCAAGGTGCTAGAATCACATCGTCATTCACGCAGGAGACATCGAGCATTGACAAAGAACTGGGACTATTGATGCATCACAGAACAGCGTTGCACTCCTTCTCGAGTATAATTACTTCTCAAGAACACGATCCCGATACGCCAAATCAGGGCGGACCGTAGAGCTGCTTGAGAATGGGATCTATACGGTGATATCAGAAGATGGCTTCCGAAAAGATCGCCAAACACGCTCACATTGACGGGAACTGACGACGGTGGAGGGTTTTCCAGGTACATGAATCGTAGCCTGGATATCGGGAGAAGTCGGCCTATCTTTAAGCGCTTGTTCTCCCGCGCCGGAAGCGTGGAGCGTGTCGTGCGAAACGTACAACAAGTCATCGTGACGCTGCATGGCCAAATCGTAATCGCTCCGAATCGCGCCCTCGATGACCATCAGGACGCGCCGGAGAATAGACGTTTAGAGTAAAAGGCGTACCTTCCCGGGCACGAAAGCGAGAGATGTTGACGGGTCGAACGGTAGCGGAGGTGATCTATCTGAGAAATTCATTAGAAATGTACCAAAGAGGGTGATACATCGATTGAGCTCACCATACCCCAATGACGCGTCTTTATCCGGCACAATAGTGCCACTCGGCCTGTTTGGCATCCCCGATTGAGGATCGCGCTGCTGCTGACCACCAGTGGATAGTGGATCATCCACGGGCCATGACTCGCCCGGTACCCAGAAGTGATCCCAGAAGCTCAACTGGCTGATCGCTGTCATCGATGTAGGCGTACCGTCGCTGGTGAGCGGCATCCCATAGTCGAACGCAAAAGGCTGCAAGTCCGCGTCCATTTGCCGGATGTCGGACGAGCTCGATACGCCCTGGTCGGCCAAAAACTGATCAAACTGATCGAACTGTTGCATCGGGGCTGAACAGGGGGTTTGCCATTGCTCTAGCGAACTCAAACTCCGCGGTGGCGAGGCCGAACGAAGCAGAAGCTGCTCTTGATACTGTTCGGCACCAAGAGCGTGAGGTTGAGACGTGGGCGTGTTAGCCAAATAGTACAGAGGAGAGTAATTCGAGTAAAGGGCGGGCGAAGCCATATAGTGGGGGTCTAGAGAACTGTCGCGCCGCCTCTTCCAAACTTAAGTATGAGCTTTAGGTGGGCCCCCAGCGTCTAACACTGCCCCAGGATGAGACGGAACAGAGCATATGAGAAGCCGTTATGACAGTTATGGGAGTCGCAGTCCCACCGTGTACCGGATGAGCTCATACGACTATCATTGACAAAGAGATGGACTACGGGACCATCTGCCGTGGTGGATGCAGGAGGACAAGTGGCGCGCGCCGCGTGAGAACGCAAGCCCAAAGCAAGGCAACCTCACGTGGTGTGGTTCGACTTCTGGCTTAACCACCAACGACCATGGCACCTCTACGAGATCGCGCACTAACGGCCGACGAGGCTACCTCCCCATCATCGGGTGCAGCATGGACGACACCCTTACGCATCACCAAGCGGGAACATCCCTCCCAGCTGTCAAGGAGGGCGTCCAACACGATCAACCGCCTCAAGTCGTCTTCGCTTGTCTCCCAATCGCCTTTCCGCTCTGAAGGGCCGTTGTCGCCACCGTTGCGGCCGTCAAGTACGGCGGCAGCCGCTAGTCCGAGGAGGGTCAGTGGGGAGAAGAGGCAGAGGCCGCATAGCATGCATGCGCAGGCGGAGAACGAGAAGCCGCAGGGTGCCAAGCGTCGGCAGTCGAACGGCATCTCCAACCTCGCACAGAGGGAGCCAGTCTCAAAGTCGCCCTTCCTGTCCCAGAAGCCTAGCTCGCCTGCCCAGCTCCCTATTAAGGTCACGCCATCACGGTTGCCAACGCCGAAGAACTCGGTATCTCCCGTGCGACCGTCGCTCGTATCGCGAAGGCTACATGGACCGCGTGGCCTTGGTTCGTCTGGCGGCATCTTCAAGCGCGAGCGTCGCAAGACTGTCACATTCGACCCGAATTGCGATGTGCTGGAGTTCGAGCGCGACAGCATGGAGATGGAGGACGAACCCTTCTACAGCGATGAAGACGGCGACGACGAGTCAGCTGATGACATGGACGTCTATGGCGCGCCCGAACCCGAGGGCGGCGACCACGTCGAGGACTTGGTGGACGACATGCTTCACGAGGCCGAGCGCCCGCACACGCCTCCGCACGACTCGAGCCACCTCCCACCCGACGCCGACAACGAAGGCGGTATTCCATATGGTCGCACACATCACTCTGAACGCGCACGCGAGCAACACTCGCATAATCACCAGCTTGTTACGCCGCCTGATACGTCGAGCGACCATAACTACCACGAAGCGGAGTCCGGCCACGAGGCGGAAACCGACATGAGCCTTGAAGACCGTGATGTCCGGATGATGCCACCAAGTCCCAGTCCGACGCCCATCAAGCCTTCGCGGAATCGCATCTCTGACGGAGCGGATCCGTTGCCACCGCGTCTTGACAATGGTATGTGTTTCTATATTCACAGCGACTACCACGAGTCTCTGATATCCTATTTTTTGACTTCTAGACGATGAGCCTGACGTTCAAGTCGTCGAACTCTCCTTCCTCTCATCCTCGGACGTCCAATCGGAGCTCGACCGCCACTCTGAGCACGGAGGCGACGTTTCCTTCAGCGCTTTCGAAGCCGAACTCGGTCTCACACCCGGCGCCTCTGCTTCAACACCGCCTCTACGCACCTCGAAGAGCACCCCGCCTCTTCGCCCCGGAACTGGTCCTCGCCCGCGTACAAGCTCATTTGAAGGCAGGAAACTGCCCGAGCCACCGGCCCATGCGAGGAGCCGAAGCGCGAGTCCTTTCGATATGGCGCCGCCGCCGACGCTCGGTCACAGCGCAAGGGCGGGTTCACCTCTCGCTCGAGAGGGCTCGCCGTTCACACGCGAAGGATCACCATTTGCGACTCGCGCAGAGTCGCCCTTCGCCGCTCGCGAGGGCTCTCCCTTCGTCCGCAAAGGCTCACCATTCGCCCGCGAGAGTTCACCAGCTGCTACGCTTGCTTACGCCCGGGAAGGATCGCCCGCTACTGCCCAACCACTTCAGCGCCCACCTCTCGTCCAACGCATGGCCTCAACCGAATCTTTCGCCTCTGGCGCCAGCTCCTCCGGCAGTATCACGCGCCAGCGTATTCGTCCCGAAGACGTAGCGCGGAAACTGGCACAGAAGAAGAGTCCTAGTCAAAGCCCCGTCGTTGTCGTGGAGAAACGCGAGGACGAAGACGCGCATATGGCACGTGTAGATGAGACGGAGGAGCTTGAAGAGCCACCCGTACCACGCACGTCTGCTATGCGCCGCCAGGATAACTACACGCACGACGGTGTACGCGAGCTGGATCCGGAACCTACATCTATCGATCCACCGCGCGCGGAGATGCTCTCTAGAGCAGCAAGCGACGGCGACGCGTACGGCGGACTCGACTCCCACATGGAAGAATCCGCCGAATCCGACGAGAACGAGGAGCAGCAACAAATCGGGCACGACATCGACGAGGCGCGTAAAGCACAGATCCAGCGCGCGGCGTCGTTCCGCGGTATTCAGTTCGACATCGGCACATCGAGCGGACTCGGTCTGGGTCTTGGCTTCGGACTTGACGGGACGGAGTTGGGCGAGGCGAAGAGCCCGTTACATAAGATGGTCGAGGACGTTGCGCGCCCCGTTCGCGGACATAAGCACGTTGCGAGTATCACGGAGGGTGTACCCGTCCAAGCGCTCACGCGGCCCGCATCTGCTACGGCTCAGATGATGCACGAGTCAAGCTCCTCGGACGAAGAGGAAACCGACGAAGGCTTCTTCTCCGGTCCCACTCGCGCGCCTGCAGTACCCGCGAAAGACACCGTACCATCGAAGAAAGACGCCATCAAAGAGCGCGAACTCGCTATCCTCCAGAAACGGCGTGAAGCGCGGCGACACGAGGAGGACGAAGATATGGGTCGCACTACGCCTCCCCGCAGGCCTAAAGCCAGGCGAAGCGCCAGTACAGGCGAGATACGCGATCTCGCGTCCCTTATGCGTCCTGCTGGTCCAGATAGGGCTGACAGTGCTGGCCTGGAGGATTTCATGCCTGTCACGCCTGAGGTTGATCTGGAGGCGAGCGTTAAGAGGGCGTTGAAGAGGCGTACAGGAGCCGTCGAGAATAACGTGAGTATCTGAGCGTCCAAGCCAACCTGTTGAACATGCCCTGATTCGCTTTGCAGAAGTACCATATCCGCGAGCACGAGACCATCTATGCTGTGAGGCACACGGATAGCGCTGGTGATGTCGCGTGGAGGCCTGTACGGAGGCCTAGCGATATGAACGAGCATGCTGCCCAAATTCGCGCATACCGTGCGATGCAGAAGCCCGATAGGGGCAGCGGCAAAGTGTTTGTACGAGGTAAGTCACACTCCAGTTTAGCGCGTTGCATGGATGCTGATACAATTGTGCAGTTGTCGGCGTCAAGGGTCTGGAAGTCCCCATTCCGCGCGAGCCGACGGCCGTGGCGTGCACGCTCAATAACGGTGTTCACTACGTGACGACGCCCGAATGCGTGCTGTCTCCGGACTGTATGATTGACCAGGAGTTTGAACTGTACGTCTCGTATCGTGCACATCGCTCCGGACTGCTCACTGATATGTTCAATAGCATCGAGGGCCCGAAACTCGAATTCACACTCACTCTTAAAGTCCGACGCGACCCACACATCCTCGCACAATTCAAAGCGAATGCTCCTCCACCCGCCCCAGCACCCGCGCCCATCATGCCCCGCGCAAAGCCAGCTCCAGCACCCGCTTCGAAGGGCGGTATGCGCGCCTTCTTCTCATCATCACCGAAGAAACATGCCAAAGCCATCGCACCACCACCGCGGGAGCCATCACCCCCTCCGCGCCCGGTCCTTCAAACCCACCGCATCCAAGAAAACCTCGCGCGGTACCTTAAGCCCGACGGCACACTCGCGCGCGCGTTCGTCTCGTTCAAAGATCTCGCGCCGCGCTGCGATATGCGGTTGTTCGAGACAAGTTTCCCGCTCATTGGTCAGCGACTCGAAGCTGGGGGCAAGAGCAGTGCGGCGCAGGTTGGGGAGCTGGTGTTGCAGTTCTTCAGGCTGCCGCCGTTGCCGGGCATTGCGCAGAATGAGCTGCCGCAGAGCTTAGAGGAGTGTCACCGCGGGTTGAGGCATGTGCAGTGGCATAAGATGACTTACTTTGAGGGTATCCTCACGCAAAGTGGTGGTGATTGCACGGTATGTCGACTACGATTCTTTCTGCAAGTTGCAGTACTGACTTATTACCCAGACATGGCGACGCCGTCAATTCCGCGTCATCGGCGCCAACCTCGTTGCGTTCAACGACGTAACGAAGCGCGCCTCAGCGTCCATCGACCTCCGCAAAGCCATCCGCGTTGAAGACCCCAACGCACCCACCGAAGGCGGTCTAGTCAAGTCTCCCAGCCTAGATGACGACTTCGACTTTGGCTTCGGCGTCGAGCGTAGTTTCCGTCTGATCTTCAAGGGCGGCGAAGAGATCGCGTTCTTCGCTGACAGCGACGATGAGAAGGCGCGCTGGTTGGAGGTGCTCCGCGCGCTTGTTGGGAGGATCCCGCCAAATCCGCTTTGGGCGGAGTTGTTGTGGCAGAGGCAGCAGGAGCTTGCGAAGGCCGGGTCTTCGAAGTAAGCTGCCTGCCTGTATCAATGCTTGACATGAGCTGCGACGAGACACGATTTACCATACGATCTCATGCATCCCTCCCCCTTTTCCTTTCTACTGTGGCATTTTTTCCTTGGTACAGACTGACGCGCCCGCGCTACCCACTCACGACTGACGATCTCCTGTTTCATCTCGTACTTTTGTTCGTACTTATCCCAGCCTCCCTGACTGATCCCAGACTGGACTCATCCCACTCCTCACATCCTCACCCCACCACGCTTTGCCCCTCCTGTCGACTTTTGCTCTGTACGGCGTGCGAGCTCTCGGTTTCTCGGCTCTCTGATCTCTCTCTATCTCATCTCATCAGGTACCATAACTCTTGTACGATACTCGAGCGTCTCGGATTAGAGCGTAGTCAACCTATGTATATGCAATTCAAGTTGCCCCATGATCTATGCTTTACTCTTGTGTGAACCTTTGAGTGGGGTAGAACGATGAGGAATCGGACTGATACGCGCCTACGCGATACAGTACACAACGGAAGCCGGGTTGCGTCATTGATGTTGACATGTTGACAGCTTCTGTCCGGCGCGTATAAACTGCGCGCGCGCGACGCGTCGGACGCGTGCTTGTGATTCTCTTCTTTCGACCTCCATCTGGGCTGTAGATAATGGCGAAGGATCGCCCGACGACGGTAGAGAAGCGCAACAAGTCGTGGTCCGATCCCGCGACCGCACACGAAGAGGCGTCGGCTGTGCCCGGCGTTGAGGATGAAGTGCAGGAATTGCGGGATGAACTCGCGGAGGAGGTGCGCGGGTTGAAGAAGGCGAAACATAAAAAGGTGCGTTGTGCAGTATATGACTGATTGGATCATATTCTGAGAAGTTGTGCTATAGGATCATGGAGAGAAGCGCAAGTTCTACGCGATGCGCCGATTCCTGTTCCCCTTTGGCCTATTTCGTGCGCATCTCCATCAAGTACCCTGTCTACAGTCTCTCTGAACCGCATATACAGTGGGCTCGCTCCTCGTCATTGGATTTTCGCATCATGAAGATCTACATCTACACGAGATGCCCGCACACCTCGCGCTCCTGCTCAACAACTACGATATCTCACTCTCACTACCATCCATGGAATCTATGGGCCTCGACTTTTCGCGTCTAGAGGAAGAATGGACCCGTCTCACGTCTCAGATCCCGGAACCTTGGAAACTCAATAACGACGGACGAGAGTTCAAAGTCGGCGAAACGTTACTCGCTCGCGGGCTCAAGGCACAACATCCCGTCGTAATGATCCCAGGCGTGATCTCCACCGTACGTCTGACTTGTTCGCGTCTGTGCATGATGCTATATCTAGCTTAACTGACAATAGTCAATAGGGTCTTGAATCATGGTCGACTTCACCAGAGTACCGCCAGTTCTTCAAACAGCGCGTCTGGGGAGGCTTCAGCATGCTCACCCAGGTCACCTTCAACCGCGAGAAGTGGATGACGGCGATGTTGCTGGACCCTGTGACGGGTTTGGATCCTCCTGGCGTCAAAGTGCGCGCGGCGGAGGGCCTGGATGCTGCTAGCAGCTTCATTCAAGGCTATTGGATATGGCAAGTTCGCATCTGAAGCGAATGCCGGTGGTCGCTGATGTCACACACTAGGTCGAAGATAATCGAGAACCTCGCCGTCGTGGACTATGACACAAACAACATGTACCTCGCCGCATACGACTGGCGCGTCAGCATGTACAACCTCGAAGTCCGCGACGCGTACTATTCGCGCTTGAAGAGCACCATCGAGCTGTTCAAGTGCGTGAAGAACGCACAGTGTTGGTGTGGATGGCGCTGATAGACGTTAGGAAGAAGTCCGGCAAGAAGGTCGTTATCGCGTCGCACTCTATGGGCGCGACCGTGTACTTGGTCAGTTATCTACGTGTGCAGTGATCAATCTCAGAGTACTGAACGTCTTCTAGTACTTCATGAAATGGGTCGAGCATCCAGAACACGGTGGCGGTGGACCGACATGGGTCGAGGTTAGCTTTGCTGGTCTTTTACCCAACCGGTCCCCTGCTTATTTTGCACTCAGGACCATATCGACTCTTGGATCACTGTCTCCGGAACGCATCTGGTGAGAGTCATCAGTCTCACCCGCCGACGGCCTGTCTGATCTACTTACCAGGGTGTAGTACGTACCTCGTGCTCGAACATGGGTTCACAGGCTGACGCGCCGATCAGGCAAAGGCGATGTCTGCATTTATGAGCGGCGAGATGAAGGACACCGTGCAGATGAATCCTGCCGGCGAGTACGGTACGTGCCACATCCGACATATTCTTCGCCTGATCATTCTCACGTTGGACAGTCCTTGACAGGTTCTTCTCGAAACAAGAGCGTCGCAGGCTCTTCCGTAGTTGGGCCGGTAGCGCCAGCATGTGGATCAAGGTACCTCGCAGTCTCATCGCTACCACTCTCTTTGGTAAGCTCACTCTATCGGCACAGGGCGGCGATGTAATCTGGGGCAACGGCACCCATGCACCCGACGACCCAGACGGTAGCGCCCTCTCCCACGGCTCCCTTGTCTCCTTCCGCGAAGGCGCCGGCGACATCTCCCCCGGCCTCCTCGCATCAGAGAATGACACCGCAGCCAAACGCAAGTTCACCCAACCCTACGTCTCTCCCACAAACATGACCGCCACCCAAGCTGGTGCATGGATCTTGGAGCATACGCCCACGAGTTTCCAGAGAATGATGGAGACGAACTATTCGAATGGGATCGAGTATGATGAGGAAAAGTTGAAGGAGAACGATGATGATCCCAGGATGTGGTCGAATCCGCTTGAGTCGAGGTATGTGTTTGTGTGGGTTTGGAGGCATGGGCGTGAACTGAGGCTCTCGTACAGGCTCCCGTATGCTCCGTCTATGAAGATCTACTGCGTGTATGGTCACGGAAAGGACACCGAGGTGAGGAGAATAGACTTTCCTGCACGCGGTATCAAGACTGACAAGCAATAGCGATCATACTTGTACAAAGCCGGCGTATACGAGCAAGACGAAGTCTTCGCAGACGCCGGCGACGCCGTCTGTGGAACTGGTATCGACTGTGACGGTCAGACTCCCCGCTCACCGCTTGATCTACCGCTGTCGCGTGACAACACGATCGACAAGGACTTTACGGTCGAAGATAGTGTGCCGCGAGTGCGTATGAATGACATAGGTGTCTATTGTCAGTTCAGGCACTGAAGCAGATCGCCCAGATACAGAACGGTGTGAAGATCGGTGAAGGTGATGGGACGGTCTCGCTGATGAGCATGGGCGCGATGTGCGTGGGCGGGTGGAAGCACAAGCGCTGGAACCCCGCAAACATCCCCGTCATCACTGTCGAGGTACTCCCATCACGTCTCCGTCTTACCCTCGTACTGACGACGTGTCTCAATACAGCTCCCTCACAAGCCAGTTTCGACAATACCCCGCGGCGGTGCCAATACAAGCGACCACGTCGACATCCTGGGCTCGCAAGGCGTGAACGAGATGATATTGAAAGTTGCCGTCGGAGCTGGAGATGAGATTGAGGATTCGTATGTGTCGAGGATACGCGAGTATGTCAGAAGGATCGCTTGGGATCCTTGACAACGTTTCCGGACTGTACTGTGACCAACGCTTGTTGAATCGTGTTGTGGATGTTGGATAACCCACGAACTATCGTTAGACTGTACTCTATCCTTGTAGCGTTACTGTTTCCGCTTCTTGTCTCATATTAATGTAGACCGGTGTTTGCTTTGCTTGCGAGATACTGTATAGATTCGACCTTAAGTTCAGGCCGTTGGAGCGTTACGCGTTACGCGGTCCCAAGTTCATTCGGAAAAAGGTTCACCGACTGCCGTGATGCGTTACCGTAGTTCGGCCTGGGCCGACCGACCTGTGGGACAGCCTTGCTGCAGCTATGTTTTGGAGCTTTGGGATGACTAGTAGAGATATATCGTACTTGAGGGCATGGGTACTCGCAATATGTACTGTTTGCGAGATCAGATTGGGCCAGAGAAGAAATTTAGGATTTAATCAATTATTTTATGATTTTCCGACCGTAACGCTTGACAAGTTCGGCCACCCGCGTTACGCGTTACGGTAGTTCAAGTTCGCGCAGGTGCGTTACGCGTTACGAACTTAAGGTCAAATCTATACAGTATTCAATACATGATTTGATACAGAAAAACCCTAAAAGCAGTACCATCGAAAGCAGTACAATCCTATCGAATGAAAGCGGAACAGACCGCCGAAAGAAAGCGAAAACAGACTCCATCGCTGTAGGTGCATATCCCTCAATCGGATGCGCCGAACCGTCGAGGAGCCACACTCTTCCTACTGCTACGGCGCGGCACAGCTTGAGCGTCAGACCTGTCGGGGCGCGACCTCTTCTGCTTCTTTCTCGGCGCTGTGGCGTTCTGGATGCTAGGTGTAATCTCCACATCCTCCAGCGGCCGCTTTCGACCCCTTGCCAGCGACGTATCCCCCTCTACCTCCGGATAATCACACCCCACGTTGGCATCTGCAGACGCAAGCGCTGTACGCGCGAGTTCCCGGTACCGCTCAAGTACGCGCTCCATCGTCTCTGCATCGTCCTTCCAAGCCGCAAACGATGCGCGTGGGTTGACGCGCATCTTATACCGCGCGATCGCTCTGATATACTCCATAGTCGCTTTTCCCTTCTCTGGCTGGGGCGGGATACGCGGAGTATTGTGCGGACCTCTGTGTGGCACATATACACGTCAGAACGTATGATCAGCGGGATGAATGCAGGAGCGAACGTACGCAGCGCGTGAAGCGAGCTCTGACGCGAGAGACTTGAACTCTTCAATGACGGCAGACGCGGTGCAGTTCAAATGTTCAAGAGCTGATGCGATACCGGTGTATTGCCACGCCAGACTAGGAATAGTGTAGTCCTTCGGATCATCGTGTTGTGGGATGGTGAGGGCGGGCGTAGGCGCAGGCTTAGTTTCGTAGTTAGGCTCCGGCGTCGTGCAGGTTGACGAAGCGGAGGGGGATAACGACGAGCTAGTGACGCTTGAGGACGAAGAGTTGGAGGGGCCAGACATGCTGAATACTGTATGCCAGTGAGGACGGGTGTGTGGCGTCCGGATAGAGCAGGGCCAGGGGTTCTTATAGCGTCCCTGCGAAGTCAGGCACAAACCACTCTGCGGTTTTGCCGAATTTGGGAAACAATGGAGAGGTTATGTCGCGCCGTATAGCCGGGCCTTTCGTCCTTCGTTCCTCGTAGGCGAAACTTGATGCTAGTGTGCAGTAAGTTCCCATCATCAATGAAGCTAAGAAGGGCAGTGGCGGGTCGGTACCGGAGGGGAGGCAATTCCCCAGTGCAAATGGGCCTTGGCTCCTTCGATCCTTTCGACGCAATCATGAACAAGAACAGCAATCAGATAGCGATTAAGGTATAGTACACACAAACGAACATAGGAAAACAGTCGCTCAGAAGTCCATGTAATCCCTCTGTCCAGCACCCCACGGCGCGCCCACATCTTCACCTCCAGCGCCACCGTTTACATCGCGCAAGCTGAACTCGCGCTTGAACTTATTCTCAAGCGAGTTGAGCGTAGTAATAAGCTCTGTTGCGGCCTTCTCGAGTGCCGCCGACGGCGTAAGCGAGCCGTCGGTCTGGAGCTTGATGAGGAAGTAGGGATGCAGAGGGTGCGGGACCTTGTAGCCAGCAAAGGTGACGGCCGGGTTGGCGAGCAGCTGAGCGCGAAGCATATTTGCCAAAGTATGGTCCTGCTTGAGAACCTTGATTGTTGCGGCGTTCGTGAGCTTCGTGTCTTCCGTTACCTCGACGCTAGGTGGGCGACGCGTCAGCCATGCGACGGGCGCGAGGCTTGACCCTGAACGTACGCCTTCTCGCCATCGTCGAGAACAAAGAGCTCGTAGCGGTTGGGTGCGTTCATATCTGTAAGGGGAGTATGTCAGCGATAAAAACTTCAACGGTGAAGGGGGTTGAGGTGGTCATAAGCAGAACTGAATATTGTAGGGTGTCAGCATCCACGCGAACGTGTCAGGGGATTGACAGATTGGTACAAGGTATAATCACTCCGGAAGGGTGGAGGAGATGGGGCTGACCTCAAGCAGGGACGCGCAGAGCGAGACAAGGCTGAAAGTGTACATCAGCAACGAGTTCAGATCCAGAGCGGATAAGAGAAGAGGTCAGGACACAAGGTTGAAGTCACAGACGCGGGCGCCTCGTCGACAATAAATGGTACAACATCATGATATAACAGCTGAGAGCACAAACTGACCTCGCCTGGTGGTGGTCAGAAGAAAGACAAGAACAAGAAAAATCGCCAGCGCGCCAGAGTCAAAACTCTCACGTGCGCCCGAACCCGCCGCGTCTCCGCATTTTCCGAGCCGCCGCCCGCAGGTCGCCTCCCACCGCTCATCAAGGTCAGTACGCCGTCCCGCCGCCCGACGCACGCCCGACGCAGGATCCATGCCCGTCTGAATGCTGGTAGAAGTGGTTTAGAGAGAAATCGAGAGGAAATAGGGTCGGGGATGGGCTGGATCGCTGGCCGGGCGTGCGGATGAGGCTCAGACTCTGAATTGCGCGCTCACATTTCGCCTCTTGCTTTCAGACAGCCATGCCGACCCGTTTCTCCAACACCCGCAAGCACCGCGGCCACGTCTCCGCCGGTCACGGTCGTGTCGGCAAGCACCGCAAGCATCCCGGAGGTCGCGGTCTCGCTGGTGGTCAGCATCACCACCGGTGCGTATTTCCCGTCCCTTCACTTCCATCCAAATAAACTTACTGTGATCGTAGTACCAACTTCGATAAGTACCATCCTGGTTACTTCGGTAAGGTTGGTATGCGCCACTTCCACTTGACCAACAACTCGTACTGGCGCCCGATCATCAACGTCGACAAGCTCTGGACGCTTGTCCCGGAGTCCCAGAAGGAGGGTCTCACCGCCGACTCGGACGTTGTCCCCGTCATTAACGTTCTCGAGCACGGTTACTCGAAGGTGCTCGGCAACGGCATGTGCGTATATTCGACTTTCATAATTCAGAGTTATTCGTCTGACCTACGTATAGCCTCCCCCAATTGCCATTCATCGTAAAAGCGCGCTTCGTCTCCGCACGCGCAGAGTGCGTTGCTTCGCACCGTCTGATCAAGCGGGATACTGATGCTTTCTGTAGGAAGAAGATCAAGGAGGCGGGTGGCGTCGTCAAGCTCATCGCTTGAGTGTCTGCGGTCTTCATCGGTTCCTCTTGCTCTCTGTTTGTACTATTGCATGCATGATATGCCCACCCACCACGAGATCCTCCAATGCACTATGCCTTCATCATGCTATCATATGCGTCTGCAAGGGTTCCAGCCGGCTTGTCTAAAAGACAGTATCGCAATCAAGAGCAAGGCATACATGTGGTGGAGGTGCTTTGTTTGTATACAACCACTCGACTTCATTGCCACCGCTCTTTGGCTGGTTTACGATTCGTCCAAATTGACAACAACGTCAAGACTCGCGAGGATGGCCAGCCAATTAGCTCGGATCTCGCAATCCTCTAACCGAAGTTCGCGGATCGGGGCAATCCCATGGCTCTTGCGCGTACGTATCCACGACACGAGATCTTTGTAGAGCGGTTCGTGGTCTCGCGTTCCGCCTTCAGAAGGGACATCGTACAAGTACAAGGATCGGAGGGAAGGCAAGATGATCGCCTGCTCGTCGAGCTCGAAACCTTCTAGGGCTGCCCTCACGAGCGTGCAGGCATTCAATATGCGCACGCGGAGCGTATGGATGTTGGTCGTCCGTGGAGCTAGGTCCAGCCAGATCTGGCTCGACCAGGGATACCACGGGGTAGTGAAGCTCTCTTGAATAGAGAGGTCGAGCACCTCGCAGTTCCCCATTGGGAACGCTCGCAAGAGCTGAGATAGATCCACAACATCAGATCGCATTGTCGTTCGCGTCGCAGAGAAATGGAGCGCTGTATACTGTTCATCGTCGTCAAACGGTTTTTCACGATTGCAGCGGGTGATGGCCTCGATCCTAAACCTATCGGATGAATCAAGCTCATATTTGATGATGGCCCGACCGCTTGCTTCAACGGAGTGCAACTGGGTATGTAAGTGCTGTAGTATGGACAACACAGTCTCCACTGGAGTCATCTCTTGGTGATTGTCGAGAATGGCGATAGTGAAGGTGTGCAAGGGTGGTAGGACAAGGTTCGCCAACGTCTCTGCGATGCCTTTCGGCTCTCCCCATACGTCGAAACGGTGCAGGTTGTGGAGGGGAGCACGAGCTCCGAAGAGAGCGCTTTCAGGCAATGGTCTGATCGCATCTAGCGCGAGGGTCTCCAGGAGAGGTGTAGTTGACAGCGCCTTGGAAATTTGAGTAGGATCAATCCGTGCGTACTGGATCGTCAGGCTGCGCAAGTTCGGCCACGACAATCTGGATATATCGCACGTAACATTATGCAGCAATAGATGAAGCAGAGTTGGCGCGTTCAAGATACGTTGCATGTCTGATGAAGGCACATACAATGTGCTTGTCGGGAACCAAAAAGAGAGAGACGTCAAGTTTTGGGGAGCCGCGTCGCGCCCAAGGCACTTGATGATATCGGACTTCAGCAGCGACGCTTCCGAAGCGCTTCCGATGACTAGCCTTCCTATGCGAGGGATATGCTCCCTCAACAGCTCTATAGCCCAAGTTGGTATACCGTCTGATTTGAAACGTCGGAAATCCAAGGACACCTTGATTGCCATGGTGTCCAAGCGGGCCAGAAAGTCTCGGCACCATGAGTGGCCCAAATCAAAGGGTATATCTCCGCAAGACCACAAGGTGGGTGTGCCGTGAGCTATAGTGCGCCAAAATACGCAGACCTGGGAGACGTCAAGCCAGCCCGAACCTGGTCTTCGCGAGACGAGCCCTGGCGTATCCGTGGACGATAGCGTTAAGGACGGTCTCTCGATCTCGTGCGCGTACAAGACAAATATGTAAGAGAGGATCTCTGCGGGCAGTGTCGAAATCGGCAGGCGAGCGTTGTGTAAAGCTTGAGCAGCTAGTCTTGCATCCTCCGTGGGCATCTCGCCGGATCGATTCTGCGCCTCTTCGCCTCCGACGACGACACTATCGCGATGGTATATCACATCAATGTTCTGGTCTCCTTCACGTTTGTGGATACCTACTTGTCGTTCTGACTTTCATTCTCCATGATCGAGAGTCTGAGAATGTTTAAGCCTGAGGGGTACTCTATACGCTGGCGGCAATGGTTGGTCAGTGGTGGTGAGAAGCAAAAAGCCTCGAGTTTTGATCAATGGTCGGATTGCTGGGCGCCATTCCGGACCGAACAACCGAGGCTCCGGGCACAGCGGATAGAGTTTGGTGTCCTTCCGATCTCTTTGAACTTGAAAGCACTCGCCACATCTGCGACTCAAGCAAGTGCCATGCGACCTTCCATACATGATGCACGGCACGAGCTTATTACACGTTCAAATCGACGAGCGATCGTTCTTCGCAGGCACTCGGGCAGTACTGATAGGCACTATGATAAGGACAAAGCCTGAAAGACTACATATGCATAGTTCATCGGGTAGATATACTGGACTTGCATACCATACTCCGCTTCATACCAAGATATGGTGATGCATCAACTCGGAAGACCCTCTAACCAGGGTTCACTTGGCCGCGTGAGTACCCTTCCTGTCCCATCTCTACCGTCCCAATCGACCGAGACATCGTCGAGATCGTCAAATTCTGACCACCATCCTTCGTAAAGATGACAGTCGCGGAGGATAAGCGTACGAATTGGGCTCATCCCTCTGGTTTTGCGCAAACGCAACCACGAGACGAGCTGCGTAAGGAAGGGCGCCGTTTCGCCTTCGAAAGAGACTTCGTACAAGTGTAAGGCTCGGAGGGAAGGCCAAAGGAATGTCGGAGTGTCGCGCTCAAAGCCGGCTAAGGCTTCCCTCACGACCGCGTGAGCGTTGGAACCGAACACGCGGAGCGTATGAACGTTTGCTGCATGTAGAGACATGTCAGACCAGGTCTGACTTGGCCAGGGATGCCAGAGCCACGGTGTAGCAAGCCCAACATCCTGAGTCGAGATGTCAAGCACCTCACAGTGTCCCATCGGAAACGCTCGCAAGAGTTGGGACAGTTTCACCACACGAGATCGCATCGTCTTGTGTGTAGCAGAGAAATGTAGCGCAGTGTTATGTTCGCTAGCGTCGAACGGCCTTTCGCGATCGTAGTGTGAGATGGCCTCGATCCTGAAGTCACTGTATGATTCGATCTGGTACTTGGTGATGGCCCGACCGCTCGTTTCCACGGACAGCAAGTGGGTACGCAGGTATTGCAGTAGGGACAACACAGTGTCCACTGATGTCTCCTCTTGATATACTTCGAAAACGGTGATGGATAAGAGGCGCAAGGGCGGTAGGACGAGATTCGTCAACATCTCCGCAATGCCCTTCGGCTCTCCCCAGAGGTCGAAACGGAACAAGTTGCGGAGCGGGACCCGAACGCGAACTCTTTCAAGAGCAGTGTCAGACGACGGTCTCACCGCACTCAGCGCGAGGGTCTCCAAAAGAGGTGCAGTTGATAGCGCCTTAGACATCTGAGTGGGATCTACGCGCGCGCGTTGAATGGTCAAGCTGCGCAAGTTTGGCCACGATGATCCGGACACATCGCATGTAAAATTATGCAGCGAGAGTGTACGCAGCGACGGTGCACTCAAAAGACATTGTATGTCCGATGAAGGTACATAAAATCCGCTTCTGGCGAACCAAAGAGAGAGAGACGTCAAGCCTTGAGGGGCCGTGTCTCGCACGAGGCACTTGATAATATTGGATCTCGGCAGTGCCGCTTCCGATCCGTTCCCAACAGCTAGCCTTCCGATGCGATGGATGTGCTCCTTCAGAAGGTCTGTAGCCCAAGTTGGTATTCCGTCCGAAATGAAGCGCCGGAAATCCAAGGACACCTTGATCGGTCTGCTACCCGAGCGAGCCAGAAAGTATCGGCACCACGAGTGGCCCAGCTCGAAGGGTATCTCATGGTGAGACCACAGTGCTGGGGTACTGTGAGCTATCGTGCGCCAAGCTACGCAGACCTGGGTGACATCGAGCCAGCCCGAACCTAGTCTTCGCAAGACGGGTCCCGATGCAGAGTCCGTGGACGATATAGTTATGGACGGTATCTCAATCTCGTGCGCGTATAAGACGAAGATGTAAGAGAGGATCTCTGTCGGTAGTTGCGAGATGGGCTGGCTCGAGTTTTGGATAGCTCGGGCTGCCCATTCGGACGGAGATGTCTTGTTCAGGCGGTTGTGCGACTTCGCCGCGCTATCCCGAGTAGGTGTCACTTCAGTCTGCCCTCCTGGTTCACGCTGGTGAGCACATACCCAGTAGCTTCGTGACCATCGTTCTTCATGCTCATGGGTGAATGGCGGTTATGTGCAAGAAAGGATGTTTGTAGTCGGCGGTGACGATGGTGGGAAGCGAGGAGCGCGTTCGAAGACGCCGCGCGGACATTTCGGACCGACAACCCGTCTCTTAAGGTAATAGCTCGCGCAATACTCGGGGCATTGAACGTTGGCAAGTGGCAGTCCACCGGTGAGATTAAGGAACTGCATGATATATTCCCGGGCGGCATGAGATAACTACAGTGTATTGTATACATAAACACATATTAACCAACACAACCAGCCCCTTGGCCTCCTGCGCTCCGTGCAGATAGCATATGCCATCACACCCTCTTCAATTCACCAGAATCGTTGTCCCACTCGACACGAAGATCCTCGATGTCTTCAAAAGCGGCGAGCCAGTCTGCGTACAGGTCGCATTCCCGTATGACGAGTTTGCGGATCGGAGTGACCCCGCGGTCCTTGCGCAGCTTCATCCACGCCACCAGGTCCGTACAGAGCTGTGGTATCTCGCTCTCGGTAAGGTCTTGTCCCGAATCTCCGGACCCGAACGGGACGCTATATAGATAGAGGTGTTGGAGGAATGGGAACATGATCACTGGCGCATCACCTTCTAGTGAAGCTCTGGCAGCTTTCGCCAGAGCGCTGGCGTGCGGTCCAGATACGCGAAGCGTATGTACGCATGTGGCCCGCGGGGCAACGGCGGACCAGGTCTCAAATGACCACGGATCCCCGCGGCCGGGGATGACATAAGATTGGCAGGAGAGGTCGAGTACTTCGCAGTGGCCGAGAGGCAGTGCTTGTATGATTTGCTCTAGTCCGACTCGTTCCGCGGGTTGAGTGAGAGGATTTCCGATGTAGAGGAAGAAGATCGTGTCGTCGGCGTTTGATTGGGTGAATGGTTTGAGAGGGTTGAAAGAACAGTAGACCCGCATTGTGGTGGACGCCGAGAAGTCGATTATAAACTTCACGAGAGTCCTGCCACTTGCCTCGGCACGTAGAAGGTGTGTGCGAGTGAGCCCCAGAAGGAAAATCATGCGGTCCGCGTCGAGATGATGCGAGTTCCGGAACAGTGCGACGTTCAGTTTCACCAACGACGGCAGTTCGAGGTTCCTCCAGAGGTCGAAGACGGCCGGCTCCTCGCCGATAACATTCATCTCCACGAGGTTTGGAAGGTGCACTCGGTTTGAGATGCGGGGGGATTCACGAGAAGTCATGAGCTGATTCATGGAGAGGGTCTCCAATACAGGAGCAGTCGATAACGCCCGAAGGGCGTGCGCAGGGTCGACGTTCGTGCGGTGTATGGCCAAATGGCGCAGATGGGGCCAGACTAGCTCCGATAGTTCGCATTGCACTTTATCCAGTGCGATAGACTGCAGCGTAGGCGCGTTCAACAAGTCGCACAACTTCGAGTTGGGCACGAAAGTACGGGGATTGACGAAGGAAAGGGATATGGCCGTTAAGCGAGGGGCTTCGCCTCCAAGGCCCTCAATCGTCCGGTATGCGGTATCCTCCCCACGGTCGACCCTCAGCTCTCCAATGCGATGAAGGTCATCACGTAGAAGTTCCTGCACCCACGCTGGGATTCCGTGAGGTTCGAAGTCCGCGAACGTGAGACAGACTTTGATGGTCGTTGTACCCGCGCGAGCGGATATCTCTCGAGCCCACGTCTGCCCCATATCGAGGGGGAGGTCGCCGGAGGACCATAGTACCGGGTACCCCAAGGCCGCTCTACGCCAAGTACGACAGACCTGGGTAACGTCGAGCCATCCGGACCCCGACTTCCGTTGAACGAGTCTTTGCGACCGGCGATGGATGAGGAAGGTCGGTCGCGTTTCGCGCGCACAGGCGAGGAAGATGAGACACAAGACCTCCGCGGGGAGGCGCGATACCGGCGAGGGGTCCATTGAGTATGAACCTATCGCAAGACCTGGTGCCGTCTGGAATGGTGGATGAGAGCAAATAGTACTTTAGCGAGTAGAGCTGTCGGCGGCGGCGAACGGCCGCAGCTAGTCGCGCGGTTCGGCCAGGCCGTCGGCTTACTTCTCGCCGACGAGGTCAGCGAAACCGCGCGCGCCATCGCATCTAAGTAGGAAAGGTAGTTAGCGAAAGCCAGGATCGCTCCCGATGTGCGGGCCAGCGCGGGCCGTGCGCCGGCCAGTCACCACGCCCGGTGCCGCGGCCGTGCCGGCTCGATGGCAACTTGGACGCTTGGACTCTGAACGCCACCACCACCAGTCCCGCTCTTCATGTCTACCGGTACAACGTGGTATACAATACTGGATGCTTGGAATAGTGAATGATACCACGCGTGACTTCTTCAAGAAACTCATCATCTGCGGGTACAACCAGCTTGCATGTGGTAACTCGTCAACGACGCCGTTGTGACCTCTACCGCAACGAGTGTCATCTCCACCTTCCATCACGTTCACTGGACTCGAGGGCGTTCCGCACGTAAAGGTGGCTGTTTACGGAGATAGACGAGCGGCCAATCTCCTGTTGCTGCTGGTGCCATCGAGGCTTGGGTTAGTACTGCGATTAGGTATCTTACTGCTTACAAGCAATTTTGTAGCATTTGAGTCCCGCGGAAGCTCGAAATCATCATTGGTACGCCCTCTGAAGCTGAAAATTGACGACGCATACTGATCTTTATTAAGTAGATGATACCGCGCTGAGTGGCGAAAGGGTGGCCGGTGCCTCAATCTCTCCTCTTGAACCGTAGTAGAGGTTTCCGTTAACCATCATATGCACAGGCGGTGCGCCAGGGCATTGCTTCCATCGAGCGTACATAGCGAAGACCCAGACTCAGGAGAAATCACCGGGAACAGGCGCTGACACCGCGCAGCGCATCGCCTTCAACACCTTCATTCGCACCGAGTACGCTTATCACTGTGTACGGATACTACGACATCCCACGACTCGACTCTCTCATCAGAACTCCGCACGAGTATATGTTTGCTCAGAACCTTCATGAGGCCCGTGAGAGCCCGGGAGACACTCAAGATCCGTACTCGTCGGAAAGTGAAAAGGGTTCCCCGTCTTCTATTCCTATACGCGATGTGTTCTATGACCGTGTATTCATAGTACACTCTCTATCTTCCTTGGGGGGACAGCCCCGCAGAGCTTGCTCGTGACGCCAGGTGGGCAATCGTGTCCACTCTATCGCTTCTCCGTACTTCCACCTTTGCTACCTATCAAGCCGCCTGATCACCCTACCAGCTTTCTTGACTAGGCTTGTATCACAATGCCGAAGGTGCTCAATGCGACTAAACGACTGGCCGGTCGTGTACTCCCGCGTACCCTACTGGCGATGAAGCACAACCCGCGCGCGCTGGCTACTGCGAATGGCACCTCCCAGGATAACTCTGTCAACCGATTGACCCCAGTCGCAGTGCTGAAGACCTACCCTGCTAACCGCGGACCAACCAAAGTCAAAGCTGCCTTAGGGAACGTCTTGCGAAAGCTGAAGCCTAGTCGTGCATCGCGAATGGTGGCTCAAGACGCTACACGACTTGGTCTCGAAGGTATAGCTCAATCCGCCGATGCATTTCCGCCACTCAAGAGCGCGATCGGTGGTCTACTGTTTCTGTGGGCACAAGCAGAGGTTTGTCTTGTTTCTGAACTATAGAGAGACTGGATTGATCGATCTCTTGAAGTTAGTGTCCAGCAACAAGGAACGAGCCGATGGCCTTCGCGTTCTACTCGGCAGGTTCTTGGAGGTGCTGAGACGAACTGGTCAGAGCACGTCGATCTCGCCGGGGCATAAGGCTGCACTTGAAGTACTTGCAAAGTAAGTGTTGCCTTTGCACCTCACTCGGCCAGTCAGATCTGACCCCCAATTTGAAGGGATGTGGACTCTGTATCTTCGAAGATGGAGAAACTTGTGGGGAAGCGACGTCTCTCGCGGATCCTCTATGCTAAGAGAGCCTCCGCCGACTTGGCGCAACTCGTCAAGCAACTGAAAGAGGCGCACAACTCATTCACCGTGCGTATCGGCATCTTCCAATGCCTGTGATCAGTGCTGATCTGCGATGGACGTCTGCAGATGGCTATGCTATCTAACTTGGGTAACACGACTTCTGATACGCTCGATGCCATTCAGCTTCTGCAGAAGGACGTTCATCGCCTCTCCCGCCTTGGCGGGTTCTTTTTTTTTTGTGCACTGCCCCAAAACCTCCAGGTGCCCAGGAGCACAGCCATGCCCTTATGACAGTGGTCATGTAGATGCCCCTTTCACCCAATGATTCTCACATCTCATAAACATAGTCCTGTTTCGACGTGTACTTCTTTATTGCTCTCTCAATCGATCATGGCTACGTGTACTCGCGTTCACACCGGCTTACTGATATGCGCGGTTTGGCTAATAGGGAAAGCGCTTTCCTCATATGCGGCTTTGTCATATACGGAACTTGCACTGCCTACGCGATTTCGACGGACAAACGAATTCAATCATCGATCACGCTTGTCCATATATAGCTGTTCCTCAGGCATTATTCCTCACTCCCTCCTCTCAGACTGTCTCTCCGTTGTTTGAGTCCTGAAGAGTACCAAACGGGGTTGTGCGACTTGTCAGTTTCTTCTTGACACGGTTTTAACTCCATACTGACTTTGAAGTGTTCTTCGACAGCGCAGGCATGTGAGACTAAACATGTTTAATGCAATGATCTTGTGAGGCTGAAGCAGACGGGCCTTCGGGCGCAACAGACTCGAGCGCCCACATCTACCCATACAACATCTCCATGGACATGCCCCAGGGAGTTGAAGTTGTACGCTCACTGGTTGCAGAGACACACGCGCACGGGATTATACACCATCTTCTGAAGCTTGAGGAAACATGCAGACGCGCCGTAGCAGTCGCGACTCAGTACAATCAAGGCGATCCAAGTCAACCTGAAACTTTCCGCGCCTTCATGCAAGCTTGTTACTACGATGGTGATAGCAGGCCCTCCATACCTCTGCTCCCTAATGCTATTGCCTTTTACGCTGGTGAATCTGGCCGTTCGAGAATCTCGCACGTATACCCGTCCAGTACAAATCAACATTGGTACATCCTCGACGTGGAAGTTAACGACCTGGATCGCATCATACCCCTGGCCAACTACCTTCCATACGTTCAATGGGCACCCGACCGGACTGCACGGGAACTCGACCTAGTCAGCCACGTGCCATTTTGGATTGTCACCAGTGCAGGCCTTGGTGTCCCTGTCATGCATAAAGATACCACCTCATTGATGCACGGGGACAAGCTATTTGAGTATTCGAGACGTGGACTCAGGTATTCTGTGTTTGTTACTATCAATGCAAGTAGCACATCATGTCCGCAACTTCACATATTAACACTGAAGATGTTTATCTGATAGTGGCCTGGGTACCCTGCCTGGAAAGCTCAGGTGAAGATGATGGAGAAAACGATATTATCCGGCGGAGGTCCGTTCACTTACAGAAGGCTTGTCAATCAAGTCAAGTGCAAGATTCGCAAGTTCTTTCGTGTGCGCAATCTGAGAACTCGGCGTATTCTTCGTACGTTGACATTCTTTGCAGGAACATGAAGGTCGCGAGACGTCTAATCCGCACTGGGCCGTCGGCACCTTGGAGGGCCGTATATCAGCCATAGACGTGACTTTACTCGCCATCATCAATGTGTCGCCGGGCAGAGTAATTCCTGTCCTCAAATTACGTGATGGGTTCAGTGAGTACCCCATTACAACCATGAAAAGCCCTACAACAAACTTCACACAGTATTCGCCGATGTTGCCGGCCCTGAGCAGTAAGTTGTGAGTGAGGTTGAAGAGTTTCTTGGTAGTGGATAGAAGTCGGCTCTCTCTCGAAATATCAATGTTACACGCAGATTATGATACAATAGCATCCCAAGAACGCGCTAAGTGACATAATGGTTCTTGTGTAGTGGTATCGCATGACTCTGAGTCCTCTCAAAGCCCAGTTTCCGCGAGTCGAGCCCTTGGACAGGTCAAAAGGGATGAGCGCTCTCGCGCGATCGTGAAAAATACGGGGCCTGAGATCCCCAAGATAGTCACGCCGCAGAGTGCAAGAGTGTTGTGTCATGTCACGCAAGAGCGCAAGGCAAGTATCGAGAGACTTCTGCAGAGCTGCGATTCTACAGATGGTGGCGCGAACCAAGCGGCGGCAGCTGGCGGCAGGCGTTCGGGCTTGGCGCGTCAAGTCGGGCCACCGGTCCGAGCCCCCGCCCGCGCTTCAGCTGAGATCGCGCTCTGTCGGCGCTTTCGTCCACGACCACCATCTCCCTTTACAGACAAGTCAATTGGAATCACTCTCTTATTCCACCCATATGGACTGTACGATGGGGCTGGAGCCATGTTCTTCAAGGATCGCAATCCCAAGTGCACCCGCTCCCACGTTATAGCGCTCATAGAACGCGGACCGGAGGCCGATACACGTCTGTAGTACTGTCCTAGTAGGACCGCCTTGCAATGCATTCTGGGTATCTGTCATGGCCTCAGCATATCGTCTTCCTTTTGCTTCCATCGTCTACGCCACTGCCAGTATCGAGCGACTCGACGAAGACCTACTACCTAAGAACATCGTCTCAAGATGCCCAATATACTCAGCGCACTCAAGCCACTATCCACTCGTCTTCCTCCTCGCATACTGCTACTTGCGAAGCGCAAGCGACACGCGTTGGCTGCAGCACCATCTTCTGCTCGTCCCGAGACTGGGAGCGTCGCCTCGTCCTCTCCGACGGTGCCACGGCTGGATAACGGCCTGACCGTCGTCATGGCGCCCGACCGTGTGGAGGTGCGCGCCACCAAGAGTACCTCTGCGTTAGAGCGCTCTAGTAGGTGTGGCGGCATAGCCAAGGACGTCTTGCTACTGAGCTTGGAGGCTCTCGCCCAGTCCGCGGACGCTTTCCCACCGCTGAAGAGCGCCGTAGGCGGATTACTGTTTTTGACGACGCAGATAGAGGTATATCTTATTCAAATCTATACAAATTATACTTGATCTGAACGCCATCACAGCTGGTATCCGGCAACAAGCAGCAAATTTTGGACATCTACGCCCAGATCGATGCATTCGCGGCGTCCCTTGTACACGCAATCCCAGATGCAACAAGACTGTCGCCTGCTCACGAGGCTGCTATACGAACCCTTGCCGAGTACGACACACTTCTTCCCCTTTGGGTTATTGCTGACCACATCATCTGTAGGAATATCCAGGCTGTGTCCTCGGATGTCGAACTCATCGCGCGGCAGCGTCCGATTGCGCGCTTCCTCCGCGCCAAACACCATTCCGCGCGATTGGAGCAGCTCATGAAGCGTCTGGATCAGGCAGACAAATCTTTTACTGTACGTGTCGTTATGCCTCGCACGATCTCAATGGCGCTCATGCGTTGGTACAGAGAACTATGTTGTCGACGGTCGAGATCAAGGTCTCGGAGATTCATGAGTGTGTACTGCCTTTACGGGATGAGGTGCACCGCTTCGCTCGGATAGGCAGGAATTTTTTTTTGATCCAACAGCGTAGTGACTTTGCCCTTTTCTTTGCTGAGGCTGTGATGAATAGCAGTCAAGTTAGACTTCCGTGCAGCTAGTAGAGTCTAGATTAAGGCTCGTCCGTGTACTCGCGCTACGACTGTATGAATCTGATGGATACGTTTCTTTTCATTTCGATGCCTTGAGTGGGCCAGGAGCTCTGATCTTCAATAAGATGTCGAAGCGCCCGATCTACACGCGACAACAGTCCCCCCGCACATGGCCTGTACAGTAGTTAGAGGCTGGACCTACATGAGCCTCGGCTTCGTGTCGCATCACCGCGGACCGGTGTTCCGAGCTGCCGCGCGCTTCAAGCATCCCTCGAGCTCGACCTTCGTCAACGACCACCATCTTCCTCTCACTCAGGATAGACTTCACGCAAGTCAGCTCTCAGCATACATTCTCAGTACTATGGACATCCTATCTCTTTGCTGTGATGACTGCCGACGCCGTATTTTACCACCATCGGAGAGGTTCACTCGTTCCCGCGCTCAAGCGCTCATCTTACGCTGTCCGAAGGAAGGGCCAAGGCGTGGTCGATATGCGTCTGTAGTACTATGCTAGTAGGACCGCCTTGCGATGCGTCCTAGCTGTCTGCGAGAGGCTCAGTTCTGTGTCTACCTTTCGCTCCCATCATCGTCGTCGTCGTCGCCGCCAATACCGAGCTCCCTCCTAACAACGTCTTAAGATGCCCGCCGTTCTTAGCACGCTCAAGCCCTTTGCTGTCCGCTTGGTACCTCGCGTACTGCTAGTGGCAAAGCGCAAGCGGCACACATTGGCCGTCGCGCCTCCTACTCATATTGGAACCGAGAGCGTCGCCTCTGCTACTTCGACGCCGATGCCGAGCTCGAATAGTTGTTCGATAGTCCGCAAAGCACTCCGATATGTGGAAGCGCACACCACTGGAGGTGATGGTTATGTCGCTCAGAGCCGTGGCGAACGCAAGGCGATGGCCAAAGACGTCCTGCTGCTCAGCTTGGAGGCACTCGCCCAGTCCGCGGACGCATTCCCGCCGCTCAAGAGCGCCGTAGGCGGGCTGTTGTTCTTGACAACGCAGATAGAGGTATGTCGCATCTCCGTGCATGTGATTGCTTCTCGTATCTCACCGTCTCTGTAGCTTGTGTCAAGCAATAAGGAGCAGATCTCGAAGATCTACGCACAAATCGACGCCTTTGCAGCGTCCCTTGTGCGAGCGATACCGGATGCGACTGCACTGTCGCCCGCGCACGAGGCTGCGATTCGAGCGCTTGCCGAGTAGGGCGTCCTTCTCGTTCTTCTTCTGAATATGGCTGATCTGGTCATCTGTAGGGATATCCAGGCTGTGTCCTTGGATATCGAAGCTATCGCCCGGCAGCGTCCCGTAAAGCATCTCTTCTGCGCTAAGCGGCATTCAGGACAGCTGGTTCAGCTCATGAAGCGTCTGGACCAAGCCGACAAGTCTTTCACCGTACGTGTCGCGCTGCATAGTACCTCTTGATGACACTCATGTATATGTTTCCTGATACAGAGAACTCTGTTGTCGACGGTTGAGAGCAAGGTTTCGGAGATTCATGAATCAGTACTGCCTTTGCGAGATGAGGTGCATCGCCTCGCTCGGATTGGCAAGTACTTTTTTTTGACATACCTACGGCGCTATAGCAACGATGGAGAAGCCACAGATCAACCCCTATACTAGATGGACAGCCTCCACTTTTATGGTAGTTACATCATGAACTTACACACTTATTCCATAAGTACTTAGATGAATACGGATGTCGCTCCCTGCTGTAGCTTCTAGTATCTCAAGTGAAAGGTCAGATCGTCTACTGGAAGGATGCGTTGCCAGACTGGGCGTGAATTCTGTACGTAGTGTTGCGGAGGCGAAGGACGGACGTACGCAGGCTCATAAGTATGTAGACTTGTCGACATATGGACCTACACAGGCCTCTTGCCTGATGTCATGCACATTCGTCACAGTGATGGCCGACCATACGCCGAGGCTCGAGCATGATCTCACGCGCTATATTTACCCTCCCCGCAACCGTACACAGAACCTCCTATCCTATCTCCCTACGTAGCCCTCGTCTCCTAAACCTACGTCGTCAGATGTGAGCCGCGCAGCACCCCCGGGATCTCGGGAAAGGACGTGGGGATGAGAACGTATGATTCTGTCAGCAGCGAGAGAGCGTCCGGCTCGGGGCCCCGCGCCCGGCCATCTCTACGCGCGCTTCGGCCACAGCCTCGACCGCTTGGACCGCGACCACCACCTCCTTACCCCCGTCGTCCGTTCCATCTCCTGAGCATACGCCGGCCGTGCCAGGACAATCCCATCCACGATGCCGACGATATTCTCGTGGTGTGAGTAGCCTTAGTATAGCATGAGACGTTCCCTAAACTCACACCCGCGCAGCCTACCCGTCGTTCGCGCGCACACGCCGCCTGCAGATGCCCCAATACATGCCCCGCGCAGACTCTGCGGCCTCTCGCACAGCAACCGCCATGGCCGCCGCCCAGCCCAACCCGAACGACGCCGTCATCGACATGAACGGCCCCAACGGAGGAGGGGAGAAGGACGTGAACACCCTGTTCGGGCCCAACATCGGCATCATGGACGCTGGCCCGAAATGGACGGAGCCGCTGGGGGAGAAGCCGGCGCAGGACGAGATCACGCCGGACGTCGTCAAGGCCTGGATCGACAAGTCCAAGGAGGTGCGTACCCAATATATCTTATTCGAGAGATAGGGATGAGATCGCTGACGGCCGGACGTAGAGCGTCCAACCCACGACGACGCTCCAAGCGCTCGTCAACCTCAAGCGCCCGACTCTCCGCCTCACGCCCCTCCAGCCCGACGAAGAAGACGCCCAGGCGCATCAAGAACACGATGGAGCCCACGCCCTCGAATTCGAATTCGACGCCGACGCGCCCAAGGCCGCCATCACCGTCTCCGTCGTCCTGCCCGGCGCGCCGCGCGACAGGCGGCCCGTGTACGAGGGAACATTCGACGGCGGGTTCGGTCGCACGCTCACGATTGCCGACGGCGCCACGCTCGATCTGGGCCGGCTCGAGCCGTCGCCGCCCACTTCATCTATTACTTCACCGAAAGTGGACGCGGACGAGAAGGAGAAGGAGGCGCCCGCGCCCTCGCCAGAGATGCCGCAGAACCAGAATTACTCTAGGCGCTTCACAGTTGCCATCCCCTTCCGCCGGCGCCACGGGCACCAGCCCTCGCGCTCCGTCGCGGGCCCGGCGCTCGCGGTCCTCGACAACGACGCGCCTACTGGACCCGATGCGCCGAAGAAGGAAGGCGAGGATGAAGGAGAGAGCGGCGTGAGGGTTATCATCACTCTCACGGCGTTACATGAGGACGGGACGCCCATCGCGCCGGCGAACAAGCAGGCGACGTATCTGCATGTGATGCGGTACGGGGTTAGGAGCAGCGAGGAGGCGGGCGCGGATACGCGGCCGTGGGTCGTTAAGGTCGTCAAGCGCGAGGCGACGGTACGTCTCCCTCCTCTAGTCTAGCCGTACCCTTCGCCCTTACTGATACTACGAACCCAGATCGGCCCACACACCTTCCACCTGCACGAGATCTACGGCCTCTCCTCCGCCTCATCCACACACACGCACGCCCCCACCGCGCCCCTCCCCTCGCCCACCACCACCTACCCGCCCACCTCCACCTCCGCCCCCGCCCCCGCGGCGCCAGCGGACGACGAGCCCTCGTCCGAGTGCCTCCTCTGCCTCAGCGCGCCGCGCGAGGTCGTGCTCCTCCCCTGCCGCCACCTCGTCGCGTGCAAGGACTGCGCGCTCAATATGGTAGAGTTCGGCGCGGGCGGGCAGATCTCGCATAATGACGAGCCGGCCGAAGCGCCCACCACTACCACTGCGACCTCACCCACCGATGGGGTCGCGTCGCCGCCCGCCAGCGCCGCACCGCCCACAGGAGCAGCAGCCGAGACGCAGCCCCTGGCGCCCGCTATCGCCCCCGTCCCCACCCGCCCGCGCAAGCGGCGCGCGAAGGGCTGGTTCTGCCCCGTCTGCCGCCAGCCGTACACGTCCTTGCTGCGCATCACGACGGCGCCGCCGCCGGCCGATGGCAAGCGCGTGAGCACGGCGAGCTCGAGCGAGGTGCCGAGGATGCCGGAGCCGGCTGTCGCGCCGCCGCAGAGCGCGGCGCGGCCGGGGTTTTTGAGGTTGGGGAGGGCGGATGGGGCTGCTGTCTAGCGTGTAGGTGAGGTGATGCGCGACGATTCGCTGTATGATGACGGATGGTGTTGGTGTTTTGTACGATAGTGGAGGAGTGTGAGGTGACGCTGTATGATATATGTATGCTCTCGTCTTTACCGTTACGTCTCTTGCTAGTTCACTAGTTCGCTCGTTCGTTTGTGATTTTGTTGAAGCTTGTTTCTTGTGCTAGTACGATTAGTCTTCTGCTTATGCGCTCGTTCGTGGGTGCTTGTGATGATACGATACGATGTGCTGTTTTTGCGTATACGAGGATGCAGCGGGATGGGTGAGGCTAGTCGCTTCTGGAGAGCATATATTGAGATTTCAGACTCAGTTTCACGTGCGCGGCTCGAACGGGTTTTGGTCCGGGACCACCACGCTCTCTGTCGAGCAGGTCAATTACTCATTCGCGCCTACTACTCTACGATCCATACATCTAGAGCTTCAAACACCAGTTCAGTTGACGAACTGCACCTTCCACGTCTCCGGCAGACGATACCTCGCCGACTCGAGATGATAGCGTCTATCACATCGCCACTTCAGCTCACGATCCTACCTCGCATGGACGATTGCTGTCACTCACATGAACCCTCGCTCGTACTCCTTGAACGCTTTCAAAGCCGCCGGCGAGTCCGCCAGGATAGCGTCGGCGCGCTTGGCCGTCGACACTGCCTTCTGCGATGTATCGCGCAGGACGTCGAGAGGTTCGAAGCCGGAGATGCGCGACATCATCTGGATGTAGTTGTGCTGCTCGCCGTCCATTTCTTCCTTGTAGAAGCTGATCACGTCGTTGATGTGGTCGCTGAAGACGAGCATCTCCGGGATCGCTTGGATGTAGCGCATGTGGTCGGGATGGTCTTGCGCGGGGAAGCACGCGAACGACAAGAACGTTGCGATCCCTTATTCCCGGTGAGCATCAGGCGTCGCATGGCCATCTTAGGATCAGGAGTCAGGACGTACCGCTCTGACTACGAAGGTAATAAGGCCAAAGCTCCGCACCCCTCTTCGCCGTCTCGTGCTGAGAAAGCGCGCGCATCTCGAGACAGTTGGCATCCATGAACACGCACATCGACAGGATCATGGCGTTGGCGGCGTGGGCCTCGTAGTGGTCGTACAGCTTGAGAAGGTTCTCAGCGAACCGATCCAGGATGGGGTGTAGTTGGGGGAGACGGCTGTAGAAGCGGCGTTGGAACTCGCTTAGCTCGTCGAGGAGCGAGTCTGCTACGTTGTCGATCCATATGGCGACCCTATGGACGGTTCTGTGGTTGTGTTCTGTGGTAGAGAGTCGCCACTTACGCAATGCAGATGGATATCAGGACTTTCAGGTCGAAATTATGGGCAGGGTACGACAGCTAGCATACTGGATAAGATCCACCGCGCCAATCAAAGAGCGTTACAAGCATACCTCGGCGAGGTTGGTAGCAGTACCAAGGCACTTCATAGCACCAGAGACAGCGCCCCCAAGATCCCAAGACTGGATCTCTTCGGCAGCTGCCTGCTTCACCATCGGGTCATGCCACGGGGAATTGGACTGCGAGTAGTCCAGCGCGCGGAGGGTCGACACTGCGATGTCGAGTATGACATCTCCGTGGCTCATATCGCTCGCTTGACCGTTTGCCTTGGATGGGAGGATGCCGGAGAGCTCGGGTCCGGGATTGGTGAGAGACACGGTCATGATTCTCAGCACGAGTGGGGGATAAGGCGCGACTGGAAGCGGTACTCGAGGTGAGGCGATGTGATGAGTGCTGGTGTAAGAACGAGCTGAGGCGCTTTTGTACGGTAGATCAAGACAGTTGTACGCGCTTGCAAAGTGAAAATACGAGTATCATTTCCGTGACAAAAGGCAAAGATATCGTCCGAAAGGGCTCCGGGGCGGGAGCCTGTAGCGTGGGTCCGCCTGCGCACTGATCGCTGCTCAGCTCGAACAGGGTAATGGGCCTTCGAGTGTTGTAGTTACGACAGACAAATCATCTACGTTGGAGATCCCGACAATGCTAGAGCCACACTGTTAGAGACTATCACCGATTGCAGAACATAGACTTCTCACCTTACTTGTTCGCCGGTACAGGGAGGCTAGTGAACTGCCGTAGACGTTCCATTCCAGGGCGATATCAGTACATATGAAGAATACCGAAGGTGCTATGAAGGTCCGGACGATTCCAGAAATGAATACGGTGCCGCGAAAGTCGGAGTGGAGTCGAGCTTGTAAGGCGCCCTACAGATGATAAGTAAGCACGCACAGTGCCAACAAGTAAGCTATCAAACAGCGTCCGGATCACCGACAACGGCTATCATCCGACACGTTGCAAACGAGAGCGGCCGACAGGACCAGCCTCGATGGAGTCGGGATAGGCGGAATTGGTACAAGAGGGTTGATGCATACGGCTCCGGTGTTCAACTCGAGAACGCGGCCTTCATCGCATTGATCAAGCCTATCTGCATTGCGCGTTTGAGGGCCGCTGCGTTCGGTGCAGACGGAATAAGGACCGGAAGGTCTCTATGAGTCCGGACGACTGCAAGGAGACAAGCAGCGGGTATCTGGCGGGTATCTCGGCGCACTATCAGCATGGCGGCCAAGATGCTGATGCCCTGCGGAAGGTGTCTCCTTTCGGGAAGCTCGAGCACTGTATTCTCTTGCGGCTCTTGCCATGGCATCGGGAAATGAAGTTTGGACAGTGATGAGGGCGGGAAGCCAGTCCGAGTCGAGTAGCCGGCGACTTCGGAGAATGCCGGGCGCCAGATCCGAAGAACCACGTGCGCGTTCAACGCTGTCTTGAACCACCATCTCGTCGTTGCAGACCTCGCAGGCCATGCGCTGCGCAGACTATAATTATGCCATCTCGATGAACTCGCAAGAAAGAAACCCCCCTGCGATCCTCGGTATCAATCGTCTTCGAAGCAATTTGGCAGACTCAGCGCCATGGAAGCCGGCGGACCTACATCAAGAACAGAATCAGCAAGGGCCGTACGGGTTCCCATCCTTCTCGCAAGCCCTTAGTGTATAAGGGCTTCATGCGGAGCCTTGATATTTTAGGTGTCCCCCCTCGGAAACCTATGGTGTGACGATCTCATTCAATCCGTGCCCAAGACACCGCCTTCACAATACCAGCCGGTACCAGCAAGACTCTTACCGACGGACGTTCACCCGTGGTGTAGATGGCCGACCTCGCTTTATTGCTCAGGTTCAACCCGTTCAGAGTCTTTCGGTGTCTAGTTGAATTGCCGGAGTACGGGGCTTCTCGCAATACGATCTTATCTGCGTTTCGCCGCCCTTGCGGACCGTAACATCTATATGTTCGGGCGGTGCGGCGTACTCAGTACGACCATAAAAGAGGCGCTTTCCTTCGTCTCATCCCGCAGCTTTCCTCACGCTGTTATCCCCACAGCGGTGGCATTGACCTTCTATCCACTGATATGGTTGGACATCCTACAGGAGCAGAACTCGTGCGCATCCTCAGTGAACATTCGATACTCGTCACCGGTGTCGTTGCGGGCGTCATACTCGCTTCAATCACACGCTATCTCCAGAGTCCTTGGCGAAAGGTTCCTCCCGGGCCGCCAGGATTACCTATCATCGGCAATGCCCTTCAGTTGGCGGGGGATCAGTGGGTCCAGTTCAGCGCGTGGAGGCGCGACTATGGTACGCCTTGTGCATCCTCGCATACAACAGATGCTGATGTTACGCAGGCGACATCATATACCTCAGGGCGATGGGACAGTCCATCATCGTCCTCAATAACCCCACTATCGCAGTCGAACTACTCGAGCGCCGCGCCGGTGTATACTCAGATCGTCCGACATGTATCGTTGGTCAGGAGATGTTGAGTGGTGGTCTCATGTTTGTGGGTCAACGCTATGGAGAAAGGTATGTGACGCTAAGGTTTCACCTCAATGTTGTTTGACGAGGCATCCAGGTGGAGACGTATGCGCAAGGCCGCGCACGAGGCTCTAAACAAGGTCGTGGCGTACGGTCTGAACGAGTACCAACTTGAAGAGGCCGTCGTGCTCGTCCGCAATACGATGCGGAACGCGGCTGGTTGGGACACGTTCATTCGCAATGCTACTGCGAGTGCGCTACTTCGCGGCGTGTACGATGAGTTGCCGGTGAGTTATTCCTCCATACACGACGCATGGACGATCTGGTTGAGCAGCATCTGCACAGGCATCGAAGGAGCACGACATCCGTGTGAAGCAGGTCAACGAGTTTGCCGAGATCGCCACCTCGGCCGCCGCACCCGGGGCGTATTGGGTGTGTCACCATGCGCACTTGAGCATTGCCTGCTCGAAAGTTGACCCCGTCTATCCAGGTTGAGTTCATGCCCTGGATGCGGCACATACCAAGTGCTATTGCTCCTTGGAAGCGTAGGATAGAAGAGCATTATCGGTACTACAATGCACTTTTCGAGGGCTTCTTCAGCCGCGTGCAAGACGGCATAGTACGCCCATGATCTCTTTCTTCTGGGCTTAGCTCACACTCAGCGTAGAATCATGGCTCCGACGGAGCGTCATTCGCAGCTACGCTGATTCACGACAGCGTTCGTTACCGTCTAGATGCTCAGGAAAACCTGTGGCTGGCTGCTTCGATATAGTGCGTGCTGAACGTTGGATGGAACTCGTAACTTCTCAAAGTGCTGAGCATGTCCGCAGCTCAGCAGGTTCTGACACTACGCGCGTGACGTTAAGCTGGTGCTCACTGGCCATGCTCCTTCACCCTGAAACGCAAAAGCGCGCCCAGGATGAATTGGATGCCGTAGTCGGTCGTTTGCGAATACCAACGTTCGACGATATGCCTCGACTTCCGTATATCCACGCTATCGCCAAAGAGGTTATTCGTTGGCGCTCCGCAACTCCCATCGGGGTGTGAGTAGGACTTTGTGGCTGCATCACGACGTGCGCGCTTACCCCGAGGTCACATTGGTAGACCACACCGAAGTACGCAGGATGATTACTACGCGGGATTCTTCATTCCCAAGGATACGGTCGTCATCCCGAACGTCTGGGAGATGAACCGTGATCCCGCAACCTTCGGTGACGATGCTCACCTCTTCAACCCCGACCGCTATCTCGACGAGCAAGGCCAACTACTGTCCACATTCCCTGGCTCCAAGGACGACGGCCACTACTCGTTTGGTGAGTGTCTTCAATCAGTCATGCGCACTCTGAACTGATGATCATTAGGTTTCGGGAGGCGGTGAGATACTACACGTATCTCTATAGCTAGCTTCACGTTATTGATTACACAATGACAGGGTTTGCATTGGAAAGCATGTGGCGAACAATACCCTCCTCATCGATATTGCGATCTCTCTATGGGCCTTCTCGTTTGTGAACGTTGAGGGTCAGATTCTCGACCCGGACAGCTACGTCAACGAGGGTCTCATCGTGTGAGTAATCTGTCCTTGTTCGATCCTGTCAATCTGATTCCCGTACTTTAGTGCACCCAAACATTACGAAGTCGATGTACAGCCTCGCTTTCCGGAAGCACTCGTTGTGCTTTCTCAGGAATGCGAGCTTCGTGGACGGTGATGCTGTGACGCAGTATCTGGTACCTTGAGCGCGAAGTGCATCGGCCGCAAGCGCAGACTCGACGTGTGTAAAGTAGTGGATAGGGATCAAAACTCGTTTCGCATACTCCCAAGGCTATAGTTCCTCCCAAAATCTCGTGTCCTTACAATACATTCAGTACGCGCTACTCAACGAGTACGACATAACCCAAAGAAGGCCCTTCTTCACGCGGCTCAACTCCACGTGAGTATATCTACTTGACTTCTCTAGCCGGCTTTAGGCTGTCTCAGGTTGACGAGCCTCGTGCGCCGGACATCCTCGGGATGAGAGAAGTAACGCGTCGTTGTAAGGCTCCAATTCTACCCCAGGAGGGTCAGTACGCACAAGCAGGCATCCTTTGACAACATACAATGTTGCCGATGGGCCAAAACTCCAGAGCCTCGATATAGCGCGTGATATCTGCGTCCAGTTGCTCATCGCCAAACGAATGGGCCTTGAGGTTCGCCTTTGCCTCCATGTATATGCGCATGAAGTCCGCGTACTGCTCGCCAAGGTACAAGCTTGCGTCCTGTAGCTTCATCCCGTAAGCGCGCATGACCACGGTGATGTTGTTGTTGTCCGCGACGCCGAGATAGTTCTCCCTTTCGTACGAGTACAGATCCTGCTCAACAAACATCAGCGAAGTCGATCCGACTGAGCGCAAGGAGCGACGTACATTAGCCAGGTCAACCATATCCACAACGGCCCAGTACAGAGTCATGAGCTCCTCGTTCTGGAAGACCTCATCGGGAAGATCGATTCCCAAGGAGAACTCGATAAGACCGAGACACAGTCGGATGGCACTGTTCTCGCGACGTATATTGCGAAAGGTATCGGGATCGAGTACCGTATTGGTCTCGCGCAGCTCCGCCTCACGAGCTTGAGCAGATGCGTAGTCCGTGCTGAACCGTAGCAGACGAGAGAAAGATTTGGGTCCACAACCGGGCATAAGGCGCTCTCGAAACCTACCAGGACCACCCCGTTAAACGGCGTATGAGAGTGTATGGAACAAGAACGCACTCGTTCACCATACGGGCGATGACCGAGCCATCGTCCCAGTTGGGGCCGCTCATCGACTTGAGGTATCTGTATCCAATCTCGCGAGCGCCTTCCCCGTCTTGTCTCTCGCAGACTTCGTCAAGCTGCAGTCGACATTGAGTTCGTCGCCCTCGACAGAGTTACGGTCTAAAGCAGCCCACTCACCGTAAACAAGATGTTCATATAATCACAAAGTACTCGAAAGCGATCATACGGCGCGTGCGGAAACGTGTGCGAGATAAGGAGCTCGGACTCCTTTGACTCTGCCACAAAGGTTTCATAGTCCGCCGAGGTAAACAAGCTTGGGGTGAACTTCGCAATCCATGCGGTCGATTCGGACGCCGCAGCTTCGTAGTGTGGGCTTGTGGCGCCAGCAAAAACACGGGAGAGATGGACAAGATCTGGGAGACGAAACGACATTGTCGAGTGAGAGGATACGAAGGGTGAACATGAGAGGAATGGAGTTGCTTTTGTATGCTGAATAGCGATCTGCGAGAAAGGGGACCTAGTGATGTGCCAGCCCTCAAATGCACACGGCGGATTCCAGGTACTCGTCTCGTACGGCGGGAGCGGAGCAGGGATTATAGCTATTCCGTCGTAGTCATAGAATCAATAGGTCGTGGCAAGGTCAAATCTAAACGCTCGAGGCTGTTGTCATTCATCGACAGCTGGTGGATCAAGCCGATGGAAAGGCAAAGGCGAGAACGATTTAGCTACTCGGGCAATACAAATCACCGCCTTACCGTCTCTGCAGCTTGCGAAAGTAGAAAAGGTCAAGGTGATTAGCAGCTTCTGGGTGTTGATGTACCCTTTTCAGGCGCGCTGAGAACGCCGCGCGCGGGTGTAATGAGCTCTTCTTGGTTCGGTTACTCTCGGCCTTTGGCAGTTTGTAGTGTAGTGCCTTGAATCATCGTGAGTAGTCCTACAGACGAGAAGCACTTCGGTAGTAGAGTCACTTTGACCATAGTACCCGATAGATGTACGCACGCACGCACTCGCGGCCACGATGATACAATTTTCTCATCGAAATCTTCTTCTTCACAGTACCTAGATCGACACTGCGCAGCACTGCGCTCTTGTCTACATCTAACAAGTCGCCCAGGAGGAGCCCATAATTGCATGCATGGTACGTCGTGGTCAAATGGCAAGATGCGTCAACGGCGTCGGACATCCATGGCCCGACAACCGGTGCACGTTTGATCGGCGACGTCGGGCTTTGATGCAGCCAACGATCGGCGTTCGCTCGAACTCCCTTCTTGCCTCCGGTGCTCCACTGTAGCCTGTGGCTGATTATCGTATGGGAAACTCATAGCCCTCCGCACTTCTCACGGTCGACCTGGATACGCCTTGCTCTGAATGCAAGCTATAGACACCGCCTCCCTTTACGGTCGGGTTCTCAGATATCTACCCGCACATCCGATTTGCGACCAGAGAAGTCGCAATCCGTGTCTGCTACAATCTATGGTGGTGAAGTGAAGCGTATCACGGACTGGGGCTCGCAGGTGCGCTCTCAATGGCCAGCCTAAGGGCATACACTATACTGAGTCCTATTGATGCCATGTCTGGCGATTGCGCCCCTTGAGCGAAGCACGCTGGCTCGACCACATCCCGGACCCGCCCATGCACCCTTCCTTGAGAAGTAGCCGGGCTTCATTCAGGTAGAAGTGGCAATTGCAGGCCACCTATTAAGGAACGAGGGACACCTATACTAGCGAAAAGGTGCGTCGTGTCTACTCATATGACTGTTTCCAATGCTGAACCATGCGCAGATCCCTTAACGGCAGGAATGGTGCTATCTACACAACAGCCGTATAGCAACCGTGCCATTCAGGCTTAGGCATCGTGCGCCGTTCCAACCCCTACGCCGCGCGTTCAAATGGTCCCGCACGTATGGTTAGTCAGCTCTCACATTGTGGATGGGAGCTTCACACGTTCCGCCCCCAGTAAACATGCGTTACTTCATGTTCTATCATCTATCGTATCATCGTCACTTGTGCGAGTCTTGTGCGCTCCCGCTGCTTTCCCGCTCCATGCTTCCGCCGTACATACCATCTGTCAGAGTGCATCGAACAATCATAATGGTGATTCGATATGCCAATCCTACAGCTTCATTAGACCCGCCCTATGGCATAAAGTATCGAGGGTGTACACAGCTGGCATCCGTTGTCATCTACTTCACCCTTAGATAGTGTTGTCCTGTGCCATGCTTGGACGACTGGTTCCTTTCTTGAAGGACCACGCGAGCGCCTCTACTGCTCTTGCGGCGGGCGTGGCATCCCTTCTCATCGTCTGGTACTTCCGGCGCTCGAAGCATGCGCTTCCTCCTGGACCAACCCAACTTTCCGTTCTCGTGAATACCTTTCGTATGCGAGCAACTCCTTGGTTGCAGTTCACCACGTGGCAGAAGGAATACGGTGCGCTCTTCCAATTGAACCTCGCATCATGACCCCGCTGACTTTGATGATCTCGACGTGCAGGGAACCTTTACTACTTCGAGGTGCTAGGTCAAGGCTACATGGTTCTTGGAAGCCGTCAATGCGCTATAGACTTGCTGGACCGTCGCGCGAGCCTATATTCGGACCGGCCACGTTTGATCATGGCATCGGAGTTCATGTCTCGCTCACTTCTCTTCCCCTTTTCTGTGAATGACGATAGGTCTGCACCTAGCCTAATCTGACTCGTGCACGATCTGATAAGAAGCATAAGGTGGCATCGTATGAGAAAGGCAGCTTCTGTGGGCCTGAGTCGAAACGCCGTGAAGGAGTTCCACGGTCGCCAGATCGCCGAAGCATGTTTACTCGCCAGGGCGGGCTTGCGCGATCCAGCCTTATGGGATCGGCACATCCGGCGCGCTACGGCAAGCACTATGCTGACATGTGTCTATAACGAATCACCAGTGAGCTTCGACTCGAATCACCGGGACTCCTCGCGAGCTCACTCCATGATCTAGCTAACCGACGAAAATGACGGGCGCATCGACGACATCAACGACTTCGGGGGACGCCGCGTGGTAGCTGCGACTCCAGGGTCTCATCTCGTATGTTAAGATCTGCGGTATGGATGGATCGTATAGGCGCTGACACAGCACGATAGGTCGAAGTATTACCCTGGATCGCCCACATGCCAGCCGCAATTGCTTCTTGGAAACGAAAGGCCCAAATGGGGTTCATCAAGGACAACGAGATGCTCTGTCGCCTTTTTGAGCGCGCTCTGTCCCTCTCTGTACGTGTCGCAGGAGCTTATCCATAATCAGGTGCCATGCTTACACCGTGCCAGGAAGGAGGGGTTTCGTCATGCTCAATATTGACAAGTCATGCAGAAGACTATGGTATGACCATGGAGGAGAATGCTTGGGTTGCAGGAGCTCTGTAGTTCGTCATTCCCCGATTCATCGATGACAAAGAGGACTGATTATGTTTCATAGCGGAGGAGGCACCGAGACCACCCATGCAATATTGACTTGGTGGTCGCTGGCTATGCTGGCATATCCGGATATCCAAAGGCAAGCCCAAGCGGAGCTTGACCGTGTGGTCGGACGCATGCGCGCCCCCACCTTTGCCGACCTCCCTTCGTTACCTTACATTGAAGCCATGGTCAAAGAGGCCATACGCTGGTCCTGCGCAACACCTTTAGGCGTGTGAGTCATTTGGTATCTCTCTAGCCTTGTGCCATCGCTAACATCTGAAGTATCAATTCGCCAGACCTCATCGGAGTACCGAAGACGACCACTACAATGATTATTTCGTTCCAAAAGGCACTATCGTGATCCCGAACATCTGGAAGCTTCACCGAGAGCCAACCGTGTATGGCGCGGATAGCGATGAGTTCGACCCTAAGCGCTTTCTTCGCGGCTCGAGGACACCGGATAGCGCATCGAGTGCACGTGAAATCAGTCATCTAGGTTACGGTGCGTCCCAGCAGCCCACAATACCTCGCAGATCCTGAGTGTAACGGCGAATGCAGGTTTCGGTAGAAGGTCAGTTCCCGTGCGTGCCTGCGGGAAATCTGGGTCGCGAGGCTGCTGCAGTCCAGTTTGTGCTGAAGCTGACACTGTTTAGAGTATGCGTTGGAAGATATATGGCCGATAATACCCTCTTCATCAACATCGCGACGTGCCTCTGGGCGCTATCAATGTCCAATCCCGCTGGACAAGAGCTCGACGTCGAACAATACATCAGTGAAGGCCTTGTGATGTGAGATACATCCCAGCACCTAGCATTGACACGAAAGTACTGATCGTCTTCAGCCTCCCAAAGCCATTTGCTATCGACACTGAGCCGCGGTTTCCAGAGGTTCCGTCCCTGCTTCCAAGGGAATGTGAATTGCGCAGTGTCTGACGGCTAGTAAACGCGGTTTGCACCGGTATTCGCTATACATTGAATGCAGCTCGATCTTGCTCCGCAGGTCACATCGAAACCAGTAGCTAGCCAAATTCAATATTACCATACATGAATACACAATCCAATGCTCTCCTCATCAATGCACGGCCTCGCTTAGTCGAGGACGCCGCCGACCCAAATTTCACGGGCATAATAGAAGGAAAGGGCGTGAGCTTCGGTCGTCCACGCGTTTGTCCACAGCGTGCGCGCGCGCTGCCGCGCGTCTACGGACTTCCCACCCGCCATCACCATATTCAGCGCCCACTCCAAGCTACACCATCGAAATGCCCATCTCTACGATACTTGACACTATCCCACGCGTCCTTTCATCAAATTCTCTGCATTCAAGGCTCCTGGTCGTACTATCGTCCCGGTGTGCTGTGCCAACCGGATGCCGTTCCGCGACGCGTTTGATGATCCAGTATTATCGCAGGAACGGAGAGGGGTACCGTTCGATATCTTGACATGGATAAGATGGCTTGATATCGTGAATTGAAGAGGCGAGTAGCGGAAGCATGAGAATGATACACCCATGGTGGTACGTAACTGGCCGAGGTCCTCGAGCACGAGACGAAGGTACGCATTCTGTTCATTGACGTCTCGTACATCTGAACTTACGATCCCTTTACAGCTGTTCTCAAAAACCTTGAGAATCGAACCTTTTCTCTCGCGCGTCGAGCTCAGGCACGCGCCGAACCGAAAGGCTGATCGCCCGACCCGTAAACTTAGCTTATAATCATCCATGCCCCCGCAGTGCACAGGACATACTATATAGGTGTCTTGCGGTACGTAGAATACTGTAACATACTCTACTGGAGCTCCTGCGAGCGAGAGCCGGCCAGCGTGGGCTTCGGAGTTGTCCGATGGCTCGCGTGGCGAGCACGCGCGCCGCTTCTTCAGGCGTCCCCGTACGTCTTTAAACCTCGCTTGGGCGCTGTCGGTGCGCCCGAGGGCCTTCTGCTGCTGGCCTGCACCAGCTTCTCTATCAGGACTATAACACTATAGGTAAAACGCGCAAGTATGCTCGCAGCAGGGGAGGACAGCCAGCTTTTCGAGGCGCGCCTTTTTAGGCGCGTGCCTGAGCTCGACGCGCGAAAAAAAAAGTTCGATTCTCAAGGTTTTTGAGAACAGCTGTAAAGTCGAAGATCATCCCGCACACCTTCCGCCTGCATGAGATCAAGGGTCGCTTTGCCGATTGCTTGACCCGTGGCCTTCTGCTCCTTTACTCGACGCCGGCGACATTCACAACCATCCACATGAACTCCGCACATCCCGTCTAGGCGAATCAGAACTTTCAGACGAACGTTCATCCTGCTTACCTCAGTCGGTCCCCGCGCGAAGTCTACCTCCTACCCTATGGACATCCCATTGTTCTCGCACTCAAGATGCTCGACTTCAGCCCCACGCACAATCTCGCCCAATAAGGGGCCCATCCCAAATACAGCCGCTGGCTTGCTCACGATAGGCCATCTCCGCTATTCGGCCCATCTCGTTGGTCGGGTGCCGTGAATGCAGTGCAGTGCGACTTGGGGCACGGACTGATCGTATTCATAATCGTCGGAAAGACTACATATATGATGGTGATCATGGTCCTCTTATCTCGCGCGCACCAGTCTCTGCTTTCTTCTACACTACTCTTTCGCTACTTTGTTTGGTCCTGGCGTGGCTAGTGTGTATTATCACGCGCAGCTCGAACGTACGAGGGTATAAGTGTGACTATCAATAAATCAAAGCACTTCCAACATGATGTTGAAATGACAATGATCGACGTTGATCAATGAATGCTACCGGTGATGTTCTAAGCGCTCCGCGGGGGTTCTACTCACGCATACGGTATACCTGACTGGGCCATCCTTCTGGCTCACTTACTCAGGACGAATATTGAGACACAAAACCGTAACAGTATCGCCGAACAGCCCAGAGGCACCTTGGGAAGTTTGCGGGAAATGCCGTGCCGCAACGGCGAAATGGAAGTTCCACGTGTGCTCTGAACCGCCACCATCACAGGCATTATTCGCATAAAATGGAAGACAGCATTCAAGCCAACCGTTGCCTCGTGCCAGAGCTGTATGATATCTCTTTGTGCACTCTCTTGCTCTACTAGTGCGGATTTTCATCGACCCGTGATACAGACTCACAAGTGCGATGGGATGCGGCGAGATGCTCAGAAGCAGGCCTTCATTGCGGAAGCAAACGGAAATCTGTACTGGACCCCGTGCAAGTTGGAAATCACTCAGCCGATCACTTCTTTCTTCCGCCTCGGTGATAACGACCAGGGTCCTACTGATAGACTTGCACCGCAGCGACAACTCCGATGCTTGGCTATTGACACTCATGAGGACATAGATACCCTCGACCGTCAACTGGGCCAGTCGGAGTACGGAGCACCAGATGCAGTGCGGCGCCACCAATGATGTGCGCGTATATATTTGGGCGGGTCGACCGCGACGCATGTACTTGGTATATGACGAGGTACTGAAAAGGACGTCGCATTCGTTCCATCATCGGTCCTACCTTCTACTCTCGTTCATTCGACGATGCCTTCACCGCTCTTCCCTCTCGGGCTGGGCGACATCTCCGCGACATCTGCATCCCTCGACTTCCTTCGCGAACACTCGGTCCTAGCTTTTGGTCTTGCAGTCGGCATCATCATCGGCGCTATCACCCGCTACATCCAGAGTCCTTGGCGGAAAGTCCCTCCCGGACCCCCAGGCTTACCCCTTCTCGGAAATGCACTGCAGATCAAGGGCGACCAATGGCTTCAGTTCAGCGCATGGAGGCAGGAATATGGTAGGTCTTACCAAGTAATGCTTCGACGGGAAGTTGACCATTCTACCAGGTGACATCATATACCTGACGATGTTGGGGAAGCCGATGATAGTCCTCAACAGTGCATCTATTGCGGTAGAATTGCTCGAACGACGCGCAAACATATACTCGGATCGGCCGTGTATGATCGTGGCGAACGACATCATGTCGAAAGGGCTCAACCTTCCCAGCTCTCGCTATGGCGAAACGTGCGTGACTATCACAACTTATCCAGCTTGGGTTCCTAACCAGCCGTAGATGGAGGCGTATGCGCAAGGCGTCTCATGAGGCCCTGAACAAGGTCGTTGCGCACGGGTTGAATGAGTATCAACTCGAGGAAGCCGTTGTTCTTGCTCGGAACACTATGCAGAATGCGGCCGGCTGGGACAGGTTCATTCGCAATGCTGCTGCGGACCTGATGCTTCGGAGTATCTACGATGAGTCGCCGGTACGTCTTCACCGCATCCATCCTGATCTTCCGAATGTAACTGGCGAATCATACAGGCATCGGAGGAGCATGACACCCATGTGCGGCTGATCAACGAGTTCGGGGCCACTGTAACTTCCTCTGCTGCACCCGGGGCGTACTTGGTATGTCTCACTGCGCTTTCGACCTTCACCATGATCTGAGATGGCTTCATCTTTTCAGGTCGAGATTATGCCCTGGATGCGCCACATACCGAGTGTCTTGGCTCCCTGGAAGCGCAAAGCGCAGAACTTTTATCACCGCTACGACACCCTGTTTCGAAGTCTTCTAGGCCGTGTTCAGGAGGATATAGTGAGTGGCACCTCTGTCGTAGGTGATTATGTCTGACGTTGTCACAGGATAACGGGGTCGAGCGAGCTTCGTTTGCTGCAACATTGATTCGCGGAAGCGATCGCTATCATCTGAGTAGTCATGAGAACGTCTGGGCAGCAGCGGGCATCTAGTATGTGGCTTTCTTCTCGGGACCTACGGACTGCTGAAATACATATCCTGTAGCGCTGCAGGAGCTGATACGTCGCGCACGGTGCTAAGCTGGTGGAGTCTGGCCATGCTACTCTACCCCGATGTTCAGAAGCGCGCCCAAGACGAGATCGACGCCGTTGTCGGTCGTTCACGGGTGCCTACCTTCGCTGACATGCCTCGCCTTCCCTACATCAACGCCGTAGTCAAGGAGGTGATTCGTTGGCGGCCTGTATCTCCCATGGCTGTGTAGGTATTCCTAACCTCAGTCTCTCTGCGTTCTTACCGACACTTCTTTGTAGACCTCATACGAGTACGCAAGATGACTACTACGAAGGCTACTTCATCCCGAAGGGGACGACTATTATCCCGAATCTGTGGGAGATGAACCGCGATCCCGCAATCTACGGTGATGATGCTCACCTCTTCAATCCTGACCGCTTCCTGGGCGAGAACGGCGAGCTGCTATCTACGCTTCCTGGTTCGAAGGACGACGGCCACTACTCTTTCGGTCAGTGCATACTGCTATCGTCACATGACTTGAGCTAACTGCGACTAGGATTTGGGCGGCGGTAAGGGACTGTGCGAACGCCCCTTATGCATCTGACACTATCGCTACAGGATCTGCGTCGGGAAGCACGTCGCGAACAACAGTCTCTTCATTGACGTGGCTGTCTTGCTCTGGGCCTTCTCCTTCGTGAACATTAAGGGTCAAGTTCTAGACGCAGATGGCTGTAACAACGAGGGTCTCGTTATGTGAGTCGCGCGTCTCCCATCTTCGAGATACTCAACCCTCTTTGCAGGGCGCCCAAACACTTCAAGGTCGATGTAAAGCCTCGCTTCCCGGAAGCGCTAGCCGTACTGTCTCAGGAGTGCGAACTTCGCGGGCGTTGATACGAAGTCAGCGAGACTTATTGGGGAGCGTTTTACGGAACTTCTTCTGTGATGCACGTACAGCAGCATGCCAATGTTGTCTCTCGCACGTCATGTATCAGTCATGTAGTCCTCTACCGTTTGCACGATTCCGAGCCTCTCCTCAACTATGATACATCCATATAGCTATAGCTGTACTCTGTAATTTAGCCTTGAACGGTAGTGTCACGACGCCCGAGATTCTGAATGGATCTATGCAGGCAGTGGTGGTGCAACTGGTAAGAGGGACAAAGGTTGCGAATCGCCGGCATTGCGGGAAATGACATCAAAGAGGACACTGCATGGAAGCCAGTGCAGGTTGCGCACTCTGAGCCAGCAGCTGGTGGCGAAAGGGAAGCCGTGGCTGCGCCGCGTGGAGAGCACGACCGCACCGCGCTCTTGCCCGCTTGCCCGCTCCGAGCCACCATGACCGCAAATATTCTCTACGGCGCCCGCCCTTAGATGACATCCGACAACCCACAGGCTCTGTTTCGAACTAGACACCCTTCACAGTCACTCGAGGGTCGACTCATCGTATATATGCGGTGCCATATTCTCCTTCTGCGCGACAATCGTCATGTGCATTGCTTCGACCGCGACTTCCTACTCCCGTCGGACGAACGAGACAGAGTTCCGACTCGTATAGCATGCAATAACTACAACAAAGACAATAGGCGCATACGGGATCGTTGAGACTCGACAGGGCCCGACCCAATTGGATGTTTCCCGACGAGCATGATGCAGGCGCAATGATGGAAGCGGTCACTGGCAGGCTAACGGTGCGTAGCCCTCACACTTGGGTGTTGTGCCTTATACTCACGGCACCCTAGATACCCGGCATGCTGTCCCTCCTCAGCGTACACTCATGCTTCTACTTCCCCGCGTGACCTCTTCCTTCCGCGCTCAATGTGGTCGAAGTCGGCGCAGCACAATCGAGAACACCCAGAAAACACTGCGGCAACCAGCGGCAACCCTTACCATGGACGCTGGTGGCGTCACCCACGACCTAAGCTCGCGCGAGTGTCTCACCCGGGGTCTTGAGAACAATGGCGACCCAGTCACAGATTCAATTCCCTGACCGACTCCAAGCGAGCGCGCGTACAGAACTGTCACCGCCCTCTATGAACCTATATTGAGACAAGTCCGCCATCTGACAGCGAGAAGAGGCCGCGTAGTGCGCCTGGACGCTGAACGGCTGCAAGCGAGCTGGCTGTCGCCTTTCTAGACAGCGTGGCGGGGCGAGATCCCGAGGCTGGTAGCTTACTCTTGCTTGGTGCAGTGCGATGTGGCTTCGAGTCCAAAATAGATCATAGACATGTATCCGGTTTGGTGCCTCAAGATACCGTACATACCACCCACACTACGAACATAGCTCCAAGTGCACGTTATCCCCATCCCCATCACCTACTGCATACATTCTTCTCCATTCCAACTTGCTATATGGCTAGCACGAAGATAACCCGAGCGTATGGGGGTATCTCGTCTGGCTGAACCAACTATACACGCGTAGGCTTGGGAGAAACCGAAGAACGCGGTACATCGGTCCGGTGGGGCGCCGCGCTTACCTTGTCTCGAACCACCACCATGTATGCCCCTGCAGGGTGGAATTCTCTTCAATTAGACCTTGTATTGCCATTGCATCATGCGAAATATACCTCCCTGAAGCTTGAACGTTGAACGAACTCTCTCATAGATGGACCGAAGGCCCAGAGGCGTAGATGACGAAGTGGTTGCGCCTTCCATCATTGAGGACCGTTACTCAATACAAAGACAACCGCCGGTCTACGCCGCTAATCCACATACCTCCATATCATACGTCACGGCTTCGCAACAACTCTTCCTGTCACCGTGTTGGAGATATCCTCGAAGCATGGTGAATGCAAAGTCTATACATGAGGTCTCTATACTGAAGCGCTCCTCTTAGCCTAGGAAGGTGGCGTATGCAGGCGCCATAGAGGCCTATGGACTTCCACTGCAGACTCTGACTGGTGGCGTTGTTTCCTAGTTTCGGATCACCGGCCACATGCGGGCCTGCGAAGAGACCATTATATACAAGCAAGCGTCTTGTGAGACGTATCCCCGCGCTTGGACTATGCATTCCTACTCTTCATCTCCCGATACAGACTCTGTCTTTGTTTTCGGCACCTCGCTTGCCATGAGGCTCCAAGAGAATGTCTCACTGATACTGGGCATTTCGGCTAGCATGGTACTCGTCTGCGTGACGCGCTACCTGCAATCACCATGGCGCAAAGTACCCCCAGGACCGCCAGGCTTGCCATTTATCGGCAATGCGCTCGAGCTTACTGGCGACCAGTGGCTGCGATATAGCGCTTGGAGGAAAGACTACGGTGAGATCATTAGTCGTTCTCGAATTCCAACATATGCTGACTGTCTTTCAGGTGATATTATATACCTGAACGCCATGGGCAAACCTATGGTCATCCTCAACAGTCCCTCCATCGCTACTGAGCTACTTGACCGTCGAGCAACTATCTACTCGGATCGCCCTACCATGATTGTGTCGAATGAGATCATGTGTGACGGCCTCATGCTTCCCAGTGTCTCGTATGGCGACAAGTACGTGTCACGTTGATTCGACACTGCATGGTACTCATGAGTCTCAGGTGGAGACGGATGCGCAAAGCATCGCACGAAGCGCTCAACAAGGTTGTAGCTGACGGCTTGAACGAGTATCAGGTCGAGGAGGCTATGGTTCTCGTCCGAAACACGATGCGGGACGCAGCCGGTTGGGACCAGTTAATCCGGAGTGCTACTGCAAGCATGATGCTCCGTGGCGTGTATGCCGAAGCGCCTGTTGGTCCCCTCTACCTTGATGAGAGGTATCTTTTCTAATCAGGTTTGGTCCAGGTGTTAGATGAGTGTGACGCTCGCGTGTATGAAGTCAACGAGATTGCAGCGACACTTTCATCCGCTTCTGGATTGGGAGCCTATTGGGTGCGTCTTTTAAGTCTATTTGACGTTACTCGGTCCTGAACTACCGCATCTACAAGGTTGAGATCATGCCCTGGATGCGCCACGTGCCGAGCGTCTTCGCTCCTTGGAAGCGCAAAGCTCAGGAGATCTACGAGCGTAACAATGCACTCTTTCACCGCTTACTTGATCGCGTACAGAAGGGCGTGGTATGTATATTGCCGTCACTATTGAGAGTGCGATCGTCTGATCATGATGCAGGATGATGAAACCGAGCCCACGTCCTTTTGTGCAACGCTCATCCGCGAGCGCGAGCGCTATGGACTCCATACACATGAGAATGCTTGGTTAGCCGCCTCCATATAGTACGAGCTCATCCTCCCGAAGCACGAAGAAGTTGATACTGAACACGTCCTGAAGCACGGCCGGCTCCGACACGGTGCGCGCGGTGCTCAGCTGGTGGACTCTTGCCATGCTACTCCACCCCGAGGTTCAAATGCGCGCTCAGAATGAGCTGGATGCCGTAGTTGGTCGTGCCAGGCTCCCGACGTTCTCTGATATGCCTCATCTACCGTATGTCAGTGCCATCATCAAGGAGGTGATTCGTTGGCGGCCGGCGACACCGCTTGGACTGTATGCGCTTGCGTCATTTGTCCACGCTTTCTCGGCGCTTACGTCGCCATTCTTGTTGCAGGCCCCACAGAAGCACTGAGGATGACATCTACGAGGGATACTTCATCCCGAAAGGGACGGTCGTCATCCCGAATGTATGGGAGATGAACCACGATCCCGCCACTTTCGGTCAAGATGCACACCTGTTCAATCCTGAGCGCTTTCTGGGTGAGAACGGCGAGCTGCTCTCCACGCTTCCCGGTTCAAAGGACGATGGTCACTACGCTTTTGGTCAGTGCTTCTTGCTGTTCCCATCTGATTCAAGCTAATCATGCGCAGGATTCGGACGGCGGTGAGAGACTATGTGGATCTCCGGCAACACGCCGAGCTTTACTGACTTTGTCGTCGCAGGATCTGTGTTGGGAAGCACGTCGCGAACAACAGTCTGTTCATCGACGTAGCCGTCTCGCTTTGGGCATTTTCATTCGTTAATGTCAAGGGTCAGAGCCTTGATGCAGATGGCTGCATCAACGAGGGAGTTGTTGTGTGAGCAGTGCACTATCCTTACCTAGAGTCCCAATCTGACGCTCGCAGCGCGCCCAAACACTTCGAGGTCGATGTAGAACCTCGCTTCCCGGAAGCACTCGCTCTGCTCTCTCAGGAGTGCGAACTTCGCGGGCGGTGATGCGGACCCAGTGAGACCTTATGAGAGATCGTTCTGACTGTCTCCTGTTGAGATGAGTATGTACTACGGCAATATTATCGTGCGCTCTGCGTTCTTATGGTATTCAACTGTCTTCCAAGAACTCGAGCCTCCCCGTAGTAACTTTAGTACATAGGTGTAGTCATAGTTGCCTCTATGAATGATTATGTTTTGATAGTCGTGCGGCGTTCGAGAATCCGAATGACCTTGTGAGTATATAGTAGTAGTGGCGGTGCAACTGTCAGGACAGACGCAGGTCGGCATCGTGACAAGTGACATCAAAGAAGACACGGGGTGGACGCCGGCCGTCTTGTTTCCGACTACCATCACCACCGGGACTGACCGGGGGCATATCCTTTCTACAAATATCGTCCAGGTCAGAGTCTCGCATGCCACAGTCGTCACGCCTGACGGCCTTCTCCCTTCATGTTCAACGATGTTCCCATTGCGACAAAGCTCTTCTGATCGACGTCGAGTCGCCTACAACCCACTCCAACACCCCACTTCCGAGCGTACTGTTACACCTCCTTGCTTTCCTTATCCGTGCCAACGTATAGTCAGTTACTGGAGATTGGAATGCCTTTCTTCAATGTGCAGTGAGGTATGGCCGCAAGTGGTCGCGCGCTGCCTTGTTACAGCCTTTACTGACACAACGTTTCAGACAACATTGAAGCGCCTCAACTTCCACCTTCGATGCTTGCGCAGTCTAGGAAGGCCTAATAAGACCCATAAGCTTTGCTTGTGCCTCGGAGACCACCGTCCGGCTCCCCATGGCTTCCCTCGCATCTACTGGAAGCCCTTCCGTCGAAACGGCCAGAAGGCTAGCCAGCATGCCGCACGATGAGCACGAACGGCTTTTGCTGGTCCTTGGGACTGCCATCTGTACCTTTTCGATCGTTCTTGTGCGCTACTTCTGGAGTCCCCGACGCAAAACCCCTCCTGGACCACCCGGCTTGCCTATTCTCGGCAATGCACTTCAACTAACGGGCGACCAATGGCTCCAGTTCAGTGCTTGGAGGAGAGAATACGGTATGCTTGTTATCGCCTCTTCTGAGCAAGCATTGACTATGTTGTGCTCAGGCGATATGGTCTATCTGAATGCGATGGGGCAGCCGATGATCGTACTCAATAGTTCCTCTATCGCGATGGACCTACTCGAGCGTCGTGCAGCGATATACTCGGACCGACCTACCATGATCGTATCGCATGACATCATGTGTGGTGGGAACACGCTTCCAAGTGCCCATTACGGAGACATGTGCGTTCCCAACATTCAACATATACCCTTGATGCTGATCAGCCATAGATGGCGAAGAATGCGCAAAGCATCGCATGAAGCGCTCAATAAGGTCGTGGCGGAAGGTCTGAACGAGTACCAGCACGAGGAAGCCCTTGTCCTTGCACGGGATGCAATGCAAAATGCGTCGAGTTGGGAGAAGTTCGTTCGCAACTCCACTGCAAATATGATGCTTCGCAGCCTTTATGACGAGACTCCAGTATGTCCTCGACGCAAAAGAACGCACTCTATTTTTATGTTAAGTGATCTGACAGGCATTGGGCGAGCATGATGATCGCGTACATAAGATCAACGAGTTCACCGCGACTGTCAGTGCCGCTGCTGTCCCCGGTGCATTCTGGGTGCGTAGAGCATCGCATCTCTTCCTTTTTTGTTCATAGATTGAACCCATGTTCGCCCAGGTTGAGATAATGCCATGGATGCGCAACCTGCCCAGCATTTTGGCCCCGTGGAAGCGTCAAGCTGAAGTATTCTACAGGCATTACGATGAGATGTTTTGCGGTTTCTTTGATCGTGTGCAAAGAGACATTGTACGTCGTAACTTGCTCCTCCACAGGCTTGCGATTGATTGCTTTCATCCAGGATGACGGGCTCGAGCGAACCTCGTTCTCTGCCTCACTGATTCAAGATAGCGATCGCCACAAGTTGACTACGCACGAAAGCGCGTGGCTGACGGCCTCTCTCTTGTATGTTGTCCCTTCCACGGACTATTGGTAGTTTTTGAACCCGAGATGCAGCTCCGCGGGATCTGACACCACTCGCGCCGTACTGAGTTGGTGGGGTTTGGCCATGCTCCTTTACCCCGACATCCAGAGGCGCGCACAAGATGAGTTGGACGCCACAGTCGGCCGCACCCGGGTGCCTACATTCGCCGACATGCCTCACCTGCCGTACATAAGCGCCATCGTCAAGGAGGTGATCCGCTGGCGGCCCGTTACCCCCATCGGAGTGTACGTGTCTACTTCTTCCACATCGCCTATTCCGTGCTTATGTCAGCATATTGTAGGCCCCACAGAAGCACCCAGAACGACTTCTACGAGGGATACTTTATCCCGAAAGGAACGGTCATCATACCGAACGTTTGGGAGATGAACCGCGACACCGCGACGTTTGGTGAAGATGCCCATCTCTTTAACCCCAGCCGCTTCCTTGACGAGAAAGGAGAACTCCTTTCTACATTGCCTGGCTCGAAGGATGATGGCCACTATACCTTTGGTAAGTTCGCTTGATGATCTGTATACACCTTTGACTGAATGTAGCCAGGATTCGGCAGGCGGTAAGATATGTTGTATCTGCAGTACAAGATCTCGTCGAACTGATGCTGTCGTCTTAGGATATGCGTGGGAAAGCACGTAGCAACCAATAGCCTCTTCATCGATATAGCCATATCTCTCTGGGCTTACTCGTTCATGAATGTTGAGGGGCAAATTCTCGATTCAGAGGGCGGTATGAACGAGGGAATCGTCGTGTAAGTACGCACCCGCTTGCCTGTGACATCCCCATCTGAATATGGTTCTTCCAGTGCACCGAAACCATTCAAAGTCGACATTCAGTATCGCTTCCCAGAAGCGCTTTCTCTACTCACTCAAGAATGTGAATTACGTGGGCGTTGATACACTGCAGTCTTCATACTTGATCATATTCCATTGCATCATTGTAACGATGATCTGTTCAATCAATCGTACTCAGCCCATGCGCGCGAGCTGGATAGTCGCAGGTTTCTTGGGCGTAAATGGCAGAAGGCTGCGGCGCATGTGGCCGCGTCGCGCGACTCGCGTCTCTCACGCCTTCTTTCGAACCACCGTCCTTGCGAGCATGTTCAAGCGATTTTCTATGGAACGTGCACCCGCCATAACTCAACTCTACCTCTTCTTCAAGGCACGCAGATAAGCTGCACCCTAAGTATGCAAAGCTCAGTACGCCGAAATAGCAGAACCCCTAATGGTCCCATGACGGGCAAGCCGATGCCACGCTTCATGAGAAGGACCTTCAGAGCCTGTATCACCTGTACACGACGGTCTTCATGACTGTCGCCGGGTAGGGCCAGTCTTGAGTTAGCGAGGAAACTTGGTATTGAACGAATGTCTTTATCGCGTGGCTTCCCTTCCCGCCTCGCTAGAAGGACTATCATGACAGAGCGATGTCTAACCTTATCACGAAAGTCTACTGCACGGTTATCGAGACTCGTTCACGCCCTTCACATCGAGCGCACTCGCTCCTGGGCTTTACTTCCGTGGTCAACAACAACATGGTCGTTATTCTCGAAGAACTCCGTCGTCTCCTGATCCCAGCAGGGCGAAGTGCCCGGGATGCTGTATGGAATAGCAACCTCTTGCTTCTCGCTATTGCTTCAGGATTCTTCCTCGCTCTCGCGGCTTCTTATGCGACGAAGTCAAGGCAGAAGATGCCTCCGGGACCACCGGGTCTTCCCCTCGTCGGAAATGTACTCCAGCTCAAGAACGAACAATGGTTCCGGTTTAGTGAATGGCGTCGGACATATGGTTCGTCGAACACCGTCACGGTCCCTAAGAACCTCATATAGCTTACCTCAACAGGCGACATATTCACTCTGAATGTCCTTGGACAGCCCATGATCGTCATCAACAGTTACGCTATCGCCGCCGATCTGCTTGATCGACGCGCGAATAAGTTCTCCGATAGGCCCCTCAACATAGTCGGGTGCGAGATCATGTCAGATGGTCTCATGCTCGCGTTCTCTCGCTACGGAGAGCGGTACGTTCGTCCTTCGCACCCTTGATATCCTTGAATTGACAGTGCCAGCTGGCGTCGTATGCGTAAAGCGGCACATGAGGCTGTCAACAAGGTACCCGCCCATGGCCTCGACGAACATTTGGAGGTCGAAGCACTCGTCCTCGCAAGAAGCTGGTTGCAGGATCCTTCGGCTTGGGACTATCATCTGCGTCGCACGGCAGCCAATACAATGTTCTCGAGCATGTATGGAGACGTGCCGGTGGGTACGCCTGATTCGGTTAAAATACGTGCAGTTGATGCGTACTCCTGATAGCTAGGTGAAGCCGATGCTCAATTTGATTTCATCACGCAGTACAACGAGAAGATTACTAGGGCCATTGCTCCAGGATCGTACTGGGTGCGTAAAGACCTGCAGAGTGTCCCGTCGAGACACTGAAAGTTCCTAGGTTGAGATTCTTCCGTGGATGCGTTACATCCCGAGCAGATTCGCGCCGTGGAAGCGCGTTGCCGAAGAATGGTACCAAAGGGCCAACGACTTCTACATGGGCTTATTTGAGCGCGTGCATGAAAGAATCGTACGTGCAATCGTACATACCTGATCCTTGCTTGACTTGGCACTAGGCGAGCGGTAGCCAACCTGCATCCTTCTCGTCGACTGTTCTTCAAGACACCCACCGACACGGGCTGAGTCCGCGAGAGAACGCGTGGCTTGTAGCGGGCATGTTGTGAGCCTCTTGTATCCAGGACATGTTTACCCTACGCATGCCCTGACTCATGTATCAGCGGTGCAGGCGCAGAGACAACGGCTGCAGCAATGAGCTGGTGGACTCTGGCCATGCTGGCTCATCCTGAAGCTCAGAGACGCGCTCAGAACGAACTTGATTCGGTCGTCAGTCGCATGCGAGTGCCTGCTCTGGCCGACAAAGCACGCCTTCCATACACTATGGCCATGGTCAAAGAGGTCCTCCGTTGGAGGCCGGTGACTCCCGTAGGAGTGTGAGATGCCCTCCCGTCATACTCTTCGACGGCATAGCTGATGATTTCGCCGTCAGTCCGCATGGCAGTGTAGAAAACGACATCTACAACGGTTACTTCATCCCGAAGGGAGCTTTGATCATACCGAATGTATGGGAGATGAACAACGACCCGGCATTGTTTGGCGCCGACGCTCACTCTTTCAACCCTGCACGATACCTGAATGAACAGGGTCAGCTTGTATCGGGTCCTCCTGATACCAGAGATGACGGCCATTTCACGTACGGTACGTCTCTATAACTCCGGGAGCTCAGTTAGAGCGCTGAACGCTGTATGGCAGGATTCGGGAGACGGTTAGTCCTCTATAGTTGCCTCATCCTTCGCACTCATCCATTCGCCTTCGCAGTATCTGCGTTGGTAAACATGTGGCGAACAACAGCTTGTTTATTGAGATAGCTACCTGCCTATGGGCCTTCACTCTGAACAATGTCAAAGGCCAGGTAGTTGACGTCAATGCTTTCCACGACGAAGGGATAGTGGTGTATGTTGTCATATCGCGAGGCATCTGAGCCCGGCAGGTCATTGACATATCTCATAGGAGGCCCGAGCCTTTTCAAATTGAGGTCGAACCCCGATTTCCCGAGGCGATTGCTCTGTTGTCTCAGGAATGTGAACTGCGGGGACGTCGATGAAGGCTCGTGTGGGATTATCCTGGCCGTGTACGTGTCATGAGTGCATCGCAAATTATGCAGATAGTTCTATTCTTTTGTACATTTAAGAACATATACAAATTTACATTATCTATAGACGGATGATTTGATTAGTACTATCGTACATAGGGCAGGAATATTCACTCCGTTCGCACCTTTTCCCCGCACCTGGCTGCACATCTGTTTTCGGATCTCCGTCTACGCGAAAGACTTTATATCACGGTTCCAATCTGCTCCTTCACCAGCACATTGAGATCCCGTGCATAACAGGCTCATGCCGTCCTCGTTGTTCCTAATATGTGCCAGAGCTTCGCCTAGGTTCTGGGACTGTTCGTTCGCGCTACCAAATGGAACATCCCTTCGCAGCAGGTATGAAGCAGGTAAGACACGTAGCGCGCATGAGGAGAACAGAGATGCGATGAAGGTGGCCCTATCCGGAATGTAGGTGGTGAGAGGTCGAGTTCAAGTTCTGCGCGCGCTCGCACGTCGCGTCAGATCGCGTCAGATCGCGTCGGCCGCGCTCGGCCGAGAGTCGCTCGGCGCACGCTGCACGCAAGTTGCAACCCCTCGACGCCCTTTGTCTCTGACCGTCATGGAGCCTTCGAGCGCGCATTATCCCCGTCAATCATGCGTGCAGTGTGCATAAGCCGTCCCCGACAGTAATATCACTAGGAGAGAACCAAGGAACGTAATCCAGCCTCTACAGCAGCGCCAACGTGTCGCCATGGCCGTTTCAACCCCACACTATGGTTGACGGCCGGCTACAGTCTTCGCTGTAGAAGTCCGCGCCCGGGCTTAGTCCAGATACAACGAACTCTACGCCCTCTCTTACAGACTCTATCAGGCTATCTTGCGCCTCTGACCCTTCGGGTAACCAATCCGTTCAATTCCGAGAATCCGTCAGCGGTCATAATCTGCGATGAGCGTCGCGAAGCGTCGCCTGCTGCATACTCCACTGTATGGTGATTCCCGTACTGATAGGCGCCCGCGAGCGTATTGAAAAACTCGGGAAGGTGTGCGTGTTGTCCCGCCTCAGCAAGTTTCCGCGATGTCGGCTCACATATACTCATCTAGCTCATTATCGGAGCTAGCCAAGTCTCATGCGATACTCCTCGTTATTGCTCTAGGCACCGCGATAGCGGCCGCTCTTCGCTATCTTCACAGTGCACGGCGTCTGCTCCCCCCAGGACCTCCAGGACTACCGCTGATCGGCAATGCGCTCCAGCTGAAAGAGGGACAGTGGTTGCTCTTCAGCAGGTGGCGCAAGACATACGGTGCGTCACATTCTGGTATCTTGCACGGCCCACTCACTCACAAGTTGTAATACAGGCGATATTTTCTACCTCAACGCTGCCGGTCAGCCTATCGTTGTGATCAATCACCACTCGATCGCTGTTGATCTGCTGGATCGTCGAGCAGGGAAGTACGCAGACAGGCCGCCCAACATAGTTGGATGGGAATACATGACTGGTGGCCTTTTCTTCGCCTTTGGTCGTTATAATGACGTGTGCGTGTTTCCCAACAGAGTATGAGACAGTCTTATTGACTGTCACAGCTGGCGCCGTATGCGCAAAGCATCACACGAGGCCGTGAATAAAGTCGTTGCTCATGGCGTCGACGAGTATCTACTCTCGGATGCTCTCGCACTGGCGCGAGATGGCTTACGGGATGCATCGGCATGGGACGATTACTTGCATCGGGCTTCTGCAAGCTCAATGCTATCATGTTTATACGGGGAACCTCCAGTGAGTGGCGTATCCATGCTAAGCCTGTTCTTCGAGCACTCATCCGGCGACAGCTTGAAAGCGCAAACGATAATCGCATCAGCTACATCAATGACTTCGTTGAGCATATGACGCGTGCCATCGCTCCAGGAGCGTACTGGGTACGGTACTCTACCAAAGATGTAGCATTCCCCCATCGCGCTCACAGACGTCGTGCAGGTCGAGATGATGCCGCTCTTGCGGTACATCCCGAGCGCGCTTGCGGCGTGGAAACGCTACGCTACGAAACTTAACGAGGAAGCTAACGCCGAGTTCCTCCGGATGTTTGACCGCGCCCGCGATAATGTTGTACGTACACGCACTGTCTTACTCGTACAGGCCCAAAGGATGAAGGATGCTGAGCTGCTACATCAGACCAGTAGTGAAGAAGACCGGACATTCTGTTCGACTCTTGTCCAACAGGCCACTCGATACGGGCTAAATAGCCAAGAGAATGCGTGGTGCGCCGCCACTATGTTGTGCGTCTCACACTCTCTGCTCCCTTCTGCTTCGCAATCTGATGGTTTTTAGCGCTGCAGGGGCGCACACGAATGCTGCGGTCATGAGTTGGTGGACGCTGGCAATGTTGGCTTACCCTGAAACTCAATTGCGCGCTCAGCGCGAGTTGGATGCCGTTGTGGGTCGTGCGCGCGTACCCACCTTCGCAGACATGCCGCAACTGCCTTACGTCTGTGCAATGGTCAAAGAAGCCCTACGATGGGGACCTGTTGTGCCTCTTGGACTGTAAGCGACGTCGCAGCCTTTTCTGATCGCGATATCTGAATTGAAGGCTGCCTAACAGTCCGCATCGTTGTATGGAGGATGACTACTACAATGGATTATACATCCCCAAAGGCGCTGTCGTACTCGCAAACGTCTGGGAGATGAACCGTGAGCCAGAGCTGTTCGGGCCTAACACAAAACATTTCGACCCGGCGCGTTACCTCGACGACAAAGGGCGGCTGCTGGTGGACCCGCCAGGTGCCCGAGAAGACGGGCACTTTACATTTGGTACGCATATCTCTATCTTCTCATCAACGGTATCTACAGCGGTGATGATATCCAGGATTCGGCAGGCGGTGAGCAGTATCAATTGCCGGATATGCCCTTCATCTCTGACGAACGTCGTGCTCGGTCCACCTCGTAGCATCTGCGTTGGCAAGCACGTGGCGTACAACAGCCTTTTTATTGAGATCGCTATCAGCCTCTGGGCATGCAGTCTCAGTAACGTCGATGGTCAAATTCTGGACGTTGACGCATTCCGCGACGAGGGAATAGTTATGTGAGCAACATTGTTGCCAGTCTTACAGATCGATAGTCTGATATGATATGCAGACGACCCGTTCCTTTCAAAGTCGACGTCAAGCCCCGCTTCTCGGAGGCATTCTCTCTGCTCACAGAAGAGTGCGAGCTGCGTAGTCGTTAACATGTCTTGAGAAGCCGTATCACTACGCTGAGCTTGTCCTTGTGCTGCACAACTGTCGCTACCGCCACTATAACCATATCAAGCATAGGTCCTTGCCCGCTTTTCAACGGCGCTCCAGCATTCGGAGCCCCTCATACGTCCTCCTCATACAAACGACGGCCCGTTGTCGGGCGTCGTGGGAGCAAAATTGGGCGCTTGTCGTCTCTCTGGGAAGCCTATAACCTTCTTGAGACTGTGGCTTCGACAGTCCGGGCTTTTCCCCTGGCCATGTTTCATAGCTTGTTCAATGCAACGCACTGGATCGTCATAGGGCGCCAAGAAGTATGTCTACGAGATATAAGCGTTGGGAGGCTCGAGAATCCATCTTCGCACTTTCCTACGCCCCAGATCAGCGTTTTGAGATGACCACCTCGTCTGACAGGTCGTCATCAGTACTCTCCTACATGCTTCAGGATCACATGGTACTCTACTTCTTGGTTGCTATCCTGCTTGCTTGTACTGTTGTAGTCCGCTACCGAAAGAGCCCTTGGCGCCGACTCCCTCCAGGGCCTCGAGGGCTCCCCCTCCTTGGCAACATCTTGCAGTTCAAGGATGGCAAGTGGCTTCTATTCAGCGCTTGGCGCAAGTTGTATGGTAAGGGCCAGTGACGCTCGCTGCAAAGAGGAACTAACAATTACGAGCAGGTGACATGATCTATCTGAACGCCGCTGGTCAACCGGTGATCGTGCTCAACAACCATATCATCGCGACCGAACTACTAGATCGTCGGGCGGGGAACTATACCGACAGGCCTCGAAACATCGCGGGGAGCGAGATCATGTCCGGTGGGCTGTTCTTTGCGTTTGGCCGTTATACCGAAGTGTATGTGGTGCTTCTCTTGATCATCCATCGTCGATGCGCCCGGGAGCTCACTTGCGGATGACTGGCAGGTGGCGTCGTATGCGCAAGGCTACTCATGAAGCGGTGAACAAGGTCGTCGTACACGGTCTCAATGACTACTTGGCATCGGACGCTCTAGTCCTAGCGCGCAGTATCTTGCAAGATGCTCCATCGTGGGAAGACCAGTTGCATCGAGCCTCAGCCAGCTCAATGCTGTCCTGTTTGTATGGAGAGGCACCTGTAAGCAGCTATATCATATGAGTGACCGGCGTCGGCTGACGGATGGCGCCAGCTTGAGAGCGAAAACGACTCTCGTATTACCCTGATAAACGAGTTCATGGCGAACCTCACGCGCGCATTTGCTCCTGGGGCGCACTGGGTACGCACTTCGCGGACTCACTCTTCGGCTTTGGGTGCTAAATGTGATCAGGTTGAGATGATGCCGTGGTTGCGTTACGTCCCGAGCAGATTCGCATCTTGGAAGCGGAGAGCGGAGCAGGTGAATAGGGATGCCAACGGCGAGTTCATTCGCATGTTCGAACGCGCTCAGGACAGCATTGTATGAGCATACCTCTCTGTGTACGTTTGCTACAACATGCTGAGACATACATAGAGCGAAGGTGACAAACAAGGATCATTCTGCGCCGTACTCGCTCAGCAAGCCGATCGCTACAAACTCAACACTCGAGAGAGCGCGTGGTGTGCTGCTACAATGTTGTACGTCTAGGTTAATCTTCGTCTGTCGTTAACTCTCTGATGGGCTGCAGTGCTGGAGGCGCCCACACAACTGCTACCATGATGGTCTGGTGGGTGCTTGCGATGCTAGTTTCTCCGGAATCACAGCAACGAGCGCAACGCGAACTGGACTCCATCGTAGGACGCTCGCGTGTACCTACGTTTGCAGATATACCTCAGCTTCCGTACATTTGTGCCATGGTGAAGGAAGTTCTGCGATGGGGAGCAGTGATGCCTCTTGGACTGTGAGCTTTCAGTGCCTTCTCTCAATTGTCAAAACAGCTGACCTCATTTCCCAGACCTCACCGATGTATGGAGGACGATATGTATGGAGGATACTTCATTCCCAAGGGGTCTATCATCATAGCAAACGTCTGGGAGATGAATCGCGATCCGGAGGTCTTTGGACGGGACTGCGATCGTTTCAATCCTGCTCGATATCTCGACGAGAAAGACCAAGGCCTACTAGATCCTCCTGGCACAAAAGATGATGGACATTTCACCTACGGCGAGTCTCTATTCATCTCTTTGCGCGGACCACTTGTCTAACTCAATGAAGGGTTTGGGCGACGGTGTGTGACGGTTCGCTTGATTGATGCTGCCGTTTTGATGGGCATCTCGCAGAGTCTGCGTGGGTAAGCACGTTGCTAACAATAGCCTCTTTATCGAGATAGCCACATGCCTGTGGGCATTCTCCTTCACCAATGTGGACGGCCAAACGATCGACGTCAACGCCTTTCGCGACGAAGGGGTAGTTGTGTACGTGACCAGAACGGTATCAGCGCACCAAGGTTCCTCACACAATCCGTACTAGCCACCCCGAACCTTTCCAGCTCGACATCAAACCTCGTTTCCCCGAAGCACTTGCACTCCTTTCGGAAGAGTGCGAGCTACGAAGTCGTTGATTCGCTTGGGAGAAGTCGACTCGCAAGATGTGCATAGGGTAGGATCATTGCACCTGAAAGATTTTGACATGTGATGGTGAATCGATGAAGAAGAGTCGCCCTGGGACCGTTGCAGTCACTCCTGATATGATAGGTTGGAGCGCACACGGACCGCATAGGACAAGACTCATGATAATGTATAAGATCGGTGTAAGTATTCCTCGAACCATCTAGATAACCGATACTACGGCTCTGAACTGGCCCGATCGCACATGCATTCGAAACTCAACATCGTCTATATAGACCAAATGCGTATTGAGGAGCAAGCATCTAACCCTAGGATCCAGTAGTAGATGGAGAAAGAAGCAGCTCGATGCACGCACGGTAAACAGCGTACGAGACAGCGTACAAGGAGACTTACATGGAGACTTGAAGCCTAACGCCGATGCCGATGCCGATGATCCGACGGATTACGGCCGGCCCGAGGCTTGTATCGGCGACCTCCAGCCACGCATCTTGCTTTCAAACGTCGACGACCTACTTCTGCATGACCGCGTGAAAACCGACGCGAAGATATGATGCTTTACTGAGGGTCATGACCATGCGCATCTTCCTATCAGCCAGTCTGAATACGACCCTCTCCGTAGTACTGCTCCGTCCTCTTGAGTCGAGCTCGCCTTCTGTTCAAATAAACGCAGCTGTCTTGCTACTTCGCTGCTCACAAGCTCCCATATACATCCTGTGGTCCTCCTCGGAGAGTGGATGATTGAAGCACGTAGAGAGTCCAGCATAACGCCGAGTCCGTCGGCGATAGGTGTGGCATTGTCGGACGAGAACCGCGCATCACCAAGCACTCGTGCAGCCTGTTGTTATCCCCTCTATTCACCAAGCCCCGTTTGATTTCGGCACTCCTGGTCTTGCGTAGCGGTAGCCGACCCACACCGCCGGCGATTCGACCTTTTTGACTAGCGGATATGACACCGGTGGCATGAATAGCGACGATATATACCTCTGCTATCTTCTAGGCAGTGCCAGCACGCAGTCAACTAACCTCACAACGCTCGCTCAAGGGTCAACACCAAGATGAACATCGGCGACGTTCCTCATGCTACTCTGAATACGGGGGCCAAAATGCCTTTAATTGGTCTTGGGTATGCCATGTACGGTCGCTGCATCGATGGTCATTTGAACATCAATTGTAGGTGTTGGATGGGTGAGTTCGGCGCGGGCGATCGTGCATATGAGATGTGCAGGAAAGCAATTGCTGTGCGCTCTTTCTTCTTCCTGTCTGTGTCTGATCGTCAGACTTACGTCGCGTACGCTTGCAGATTGGCTACAGGCACATCGACACTGCTGCAGGATACGGTCAGTCCCGGTGCTACTCTGTCTGTTCGCTTGTCGGCTCAATCCGCTCGTAGCAAATGAGGAATCTGTCGGCAAAGCCATTCGTGACTCCGGTGTCCCTCGCTCCGAGTTCTTCATTACGACTAAGCTGCACAACGTCGACCACGACAAAGTGGCTTTGGCCCTTTCCACTTCACTGAAGGCTCTCGGTATAGACTACGTCGATCTCTACCTGATGCACTGGCCGCAAGCTACCCTCACCTCTGACTGGCCGTCCAAGGCATTGCAACCGGACGAGCACCCTACTTTCAACGAGACGTGGGCGGAGATGGAGAACGAGTTCAAGCACGGAAAGGCGAGGTCCATCGGGGTCAGCAACTTCAGTGTGAAGAACCTGGAGAAGTTGGAGAAGACGTGGAAGGTTGTCCCTGCCGTCAACCAGATTGAGATGCATCCGTTTCTTCCGCAGAACGAGGTCAAGGCGTGGTGCGATGAGAGAGGCATCCATCTTACTGCTTACTCTCCAATTGGTGCGTGTTTCACCGTTGTCTTACGATGCACGTGAGTTAAGTCGTTCGCGGACATGTAGGCCAACCAACTGCGGGATCGAATGCACCGTCACTATTGAAGAATGACTTGGTTGTCAAGCTTGCGGAGAAGTACGGTGCCACGGCGGGGCAGATCTTGCTCAGCTGGGGAGTTCTTCGCGGGACCAGCGTCGTCCCGAAGAGCGAGAGCGAGGAGCGTCTGCGGAAGAACATCACAGTACGCCTCTCATGCTGTTTCTGATACGTCCATGTATCTTTATCTGCCGATCATAGGTTGTGAGTCTCGAGAAGGCGGATATGCAGGCGTTAGACCTACTGCACACGCTGCCTGGCATGCATCGTTCGCTGCTCGCCCATGTCCCGGGGTACCATACCGATGGCCGTGTATTTGGATGGACGCACGAGCAGCTAGGATGGCCGTTCGATACAGAGGGTGTTGTGGTTAAGCAGTGAACATACATTCCTGGCTAGCTGTTGCGTTACTGCCGCATTACTAGTGCAAGTGCAGAAAACGATACGATACACTGTCCGATGAGTGGAGCCTCTTCAGTTCATCATAGGTGAAGCACGGACTACCTGTATCATTCGTGCAAAGAAGATACAGCCCAACATAAGCTGAGATTCTGAAGAAACCTTGAAGCTTGAAGCTGCTTGAAGCTTGAGCTCAGTAACCGTGTGGCGCACTGCAAGCCGAGATGCCGTGGTCGGTCCGCCCGGACCGTGCTGCCGTAGCGCACGGCGAACGCTATTAATGCGCTTGTCCTCGACCGACCACCATACAAGACCTTTTGCCTTTGTGCACTCAGTTACACCTGAATGGAACTTTCCTTTTGACCCTATTGCCCTTAAGAAGGTACCTCGGAGTGCCTGCCTGAGATGGTGCACTCCAGCCACGATAGCCGTCAACGGGCCACAGCGACCGGGGAAGAGCATAGAAGACGCCGAATACGCCTGGAGCCACATGACGTACACTTTATCTTGGTCTACGCACATATATAAGGCATGAGAGGGAAGGTGTACCCCCTATTGGACGTTCTTCCAAAAGCCTCACTCTTGCTTTATCGTGAAACATCTGAGGGCACATAGCGCATCACGCAGGATGACTAGCACCATAGTACCGACGGTCACACTGAATACTGGCGCTACCATGCCTCTCATTGGACTGGGGTCAGTCGCATTGCCTGCTAGATTACCCTACGTCTGGCAGCTGACCTACTTCTTTTCTTGCGAAGGTGCTGGATGGGTGTGCCGGGTGGAGGACAACGCGTGTACGATATGTGCAAGAAAGCCATAGCGGTGCGCAGCCAACTACGCTCCCTTCTCATCCGTATGCTCAAGTGTATCACAGATAGGTTATAGGCACATTGACACCGCGGCTGGTTACGGTTCGTCCAAACCAGCATCGTATTTCACTTCGTGCTCATGATGTGAATTGCACATAGCCAACGAGGAGCAAGTCGGACAAGCCATCCGCGACTCCGGCATCCCGCGCAAAGAGTTCTTCGTGACTACCAAACTTGCCAATACGGACCACCATGACGTACCGAGAGCGCTTGACACTTCGCTCTCCAAGCTCGGAATGGACTACGTGGATCTATATCTTGTCCACTGGCCTCAGGCTTCACTCGACGGGCGCGCATTAGCTCCCGACGAGCATCCTACGATCAATGATACGTGGGAGGGCATGGAGAAGGTGTATAAAGACGGGAAAGCGAAGGCCATTGGCGTCAGCAACTTCAGCATTCGGACGTTGGAGGAACTCGAAAAGACGTGGACGATCGTACCCAGCGTCAACCAAGTCGAGATGCACCCATTCTTACCGTGGAATGAGCTCAAGATACACTGCGACCTCAAAATGATCCACTTGACCGCGTACTCGCCCATCGGTATGTCGAGTTGCGGATGCGATGCGACAGTCACTGATGATGCGGTGTCTAGGTCGACCAAACTCAGGATCCAAAGCGCCTTCGCTTTTGCAGAACGAGACAATTGTGAGCGTCGCGGAGAAGTATGGCGTGACCGCGAGCCAGGTTCTACTCAGCTGGAGCGTACAGCGCGGCTCTAGCGTGATCCCCAAGAGCGAGAATGAGGAGCGCTTGCGCCAGAACATCACCGTGAGCACGATGCATACCAGTCGACCTCCGCACCCTTTGGCTCAATAGTGTCTTCAGATCTTGCGGATGGAGGACCCGGACTTGAAGGCTATAAATGAGCTATACAAGCAACCGGGGTTGCACCGCTCGGTCCTGACCTATCACAAGGAGGGAGGCATCTTCGGCTGGACGTATGAGCAGCTCGGATGGCCGTTCAATGGCGAGGGAGTCGTCGTCAACGCATAGGCAGATAGGGCCATACGAGGCGGTCGCCTATCTCTGAAATCGACTGAGAAACCCGTTCAACACGTCCCTGCCCGCCCCATGCTTTGTAACGATGGGTTCACTGTATATAAGCCTGGGTCAGGAAATGAGATGCATCTCCGACTCCTGCACTCCATATTCCGACTATCATCGCGCTATTGCTCAGCAGCATACGACCAGCATGACCAGCGTTCCTCAGGCTCGACTGAATACGGGTGCTACTATTCCCCTGGTTGGCCTAGGGTGAGACGGCCACCACGGCTATACCATTATCTCGGGTCATAGTCGCTGACCCTACCGAAGGTGTTGGATGGGTGTACCTGGTGGCGGCGAGCGTGTGTACAATATGTGCATGAAAGCTATTTCCGTAGGCGCCCAGGACACTCCAAATGACCTCGTGAACTGATCGATCTCGTAGTTGGGGTACAGGCACATCGACACCGCTGCAGGCTATGGTATGTCTTTCTGCCCTCGACCTTGCTATGCGTTGCCGCCTACGATGACTGTATGTAGCGAACGAAGAACAAGTTGGCAAAGCCATCCGCGACTCGGGCATCCCCCGCTCCGAGTTCTTCATCACCACGAAGCTCGCGAACGAAGAAGCGCACGCGGCAGTATCCAAAGCGCTCGACACCTCCCTCGCCAACCTAGGGCTCGAGTATGTCGACCTATACCTTATACATTGGCCACAAGCTGCCATGAACGGAAAAGTCCTGCAACCGGACGAGCATCCCACCATCAACGATACCTGGGCCGATATGGAGAAGGTATTCGAAGAGGGCAGGGCGAAGGCGATCGGAGTTAGCAACTTCAGCGTCAAGACTCTGAAGCGCTTGGAGGAGACGTGGAAGGTCGTGCCTGCTGTTGATCAGATTGAGATGCACCCGTTTTTACCGCAGAATGAGCTGAAGGCGTATTGCGAGGAGAAGGGTATTCATCTCACCGCTTACTCGCCAGTCGGTGAGCATCCTTCTTTTGCCTTGTGGACGTAATAGGAAATTGATCTGAGTATAGGCCAGCCATCCGAGACGTCCAAGGCCCCTTCGCTCTTGAAGAACGATCTGATCGTTGAACTGGCGGGGAAGTACAGCGCGACGCCCGGCCAGATCTTGCTGAGTTGGGGTGTCCAGCGCGGAACGAGCGTCATCCCGAAGAGCGAGAATGAGGAACGTCTGCGGAAGAACATCACGGTGAGTCCATCACTCATATGCCCTTGAATGGCCGCAGATGGAAGCGGGCTATACAGGTCGTCAAGCTTGAAGACGCGGATGTGAAGATGATCGACGAGCTGCACACTCGGCCAGGCCTCCACCGTTCAACACTTCCTTACCACGGAGACAACGGGGTCTTCGGCTGGACGTACGAGCAGCTCGGTTGGCCCTTCAATGGCGAGGGCATCGTGATCAAGCTGTAGAGGATAGGCGTATGGTTCATGCGGATATCAATAAATTAGCAAACATATCGATGTATACAAGCGTGTGTACAACAGGTACGACAAGAACAAGCAGCGAGAGAACCTCAATACACTTTACCAGATTTGCGAGAGTCATCGATCTACATAGCAGTGCGCATCCTCGTACATTCTTTCCTTGGTATCTTCCTGAATCTCCATCTACGAGCGGTTGAGGTGCGTCTGCTCGAGCTCGCGCTCAAGATCCGCGCTCGGGTCATCCATGACGGGGCTGGGAACGCGGTTGCCCTGCGTGTAGTAGCCTGTCGCGCCGTTCGGGGGAGCATCTTGCTGTATGGGCGACGAAATGATCTCATCACGCGACGGGACAGGAAGTCTATGCATGGGCAGATGTCAGTCATTGATCCTTCAGAGAGCGGAAGGAGACGCACTGCTCGCCACGACGCGGTCCCTGGGCTGTGCGGGTCTGACCGCGAACTTCCGAGCGGAACAGCGTAACCTCATCGACGATCAGCTTCTTCATGCCCTCGCTCGATTCCTCCGCCTCGAAACCGAAGTCGAACTTGGTCGGGCAGGAGGGTTCGTCGGAGGGGTCGTGCCAGACGGCGAGGTACGGGTGTTCGAGCGCCTGCTCGCAGGTAATGCGCTTCGCGGGGTCGAAGTTGAGCATCTTGGAGAGGAGGTCGAGGGCGAGCGGGTTGGCTTGCGGGAAGAGCTGTTGGAAGGGGACGCGGGGTTTGATGGGGAGCGAGCGGATGTAATCCTGAGCCTGTACAGACTGTTAGATGCTGTAGTAATCGATTTAACACGATGGGCGTACACGAGGGGATCCGACGCGACGGAGGGTGTCCTCAGAGGGTGTACCGAGGTAGTGCAGGATCTGGTTCAGCTGGTCCACATAGCTGTATTGGTATCAGCAGCCATATATGAATAATGACCGAATGCTAGACGTACTCCCTGCCCTTGAAAATCGGCTTGCCGGCAAGAAGCTCGGCAAGAATGCAACCCACAGACCAGACATCGATCGCCGAGGCCTGAGCGCCTATCAGCTCCACTCGTGGACAGGACCATAACTAGGCAACTCACGTAGTTGGCGAAGCTCAACATGATCTCGGGTGCACGGTACCACCGAGTTGCGACGTACTCGGTCATAAAGCCCTGCTTCTGCTGCTGGTTGAAGCCACGAGCGAGACCGAAGTCACAGATCTTGAGTTCGCAATCCGCGTTCACGAGCAAGTTGCCAGGCTTCAAGTCGCGGTGGAGTACGTTGGCCGAGTGGATGTACTTGAGACCGCATAACGTCTGGTAGATGAATGATTGGAAGTGAGCGTCCGACAACGGTTGCCCAGAGCGGATCTACGGAAGCAGATGAGTTGTCGACGCCACAATCCAAGTAGCACGTTGCATACGATCGCGTGAAGATCAGCCTCCATGAGCTCCTCCTACAGAAGTGCGCACTGCGTCAGCCATATGTTGACAATATCGAGGGCTCAGGGACGTACGTAGAGGTAGACCTCGTCAAAGTTGCCGTCGGGGCCAAATACGATGTCCATGTCGTACAGGCAAGTGATCTACTGATGATCAGCCAACTGTAAACCAACTCATAAGCCTATCCATACGTTCTTATGCCTCCGGAAGTGGTGGAGGAGCCTGGAGGCTCGTATGTCAGCCGAGGTTCGGGCTAATACAGGTATCGAGCTCACTTGATCTCGCGCAGGCATCGCTTCGTCAGGATTTTCTACAGTACTTCTTAGGTACCACACCCAACAGCGAGTGCATCGGAGGTACATACCTTGGTGTTGATGTTGGTGATCTTCTTAATGGCGACGGTTTCACCAGTCCTGCGGTGCTTGGCCGCGACGACGCAACCATAAGCGCCCTGGCCGAGTTCCTTGACGAACTCATAGTCGGCATCGACGACGAACGTCGAGTTGAGCGCGCTGAAGGTACGGCGCGACATGATGGTGGTCAAGGGCAAAGGCGAAAAGGGACGGGTTGGATGTCAAGGGTTTACACTTATAACCGACGAACAGATCAGTACACGACCATCAAGATTTGAGACAGACGCGACAAGTCGAGCATCGCCGCCTGCTGTTGGATCTGATCCGCCAGCTTGCAGCCACACAGCCACACAGCGCGAACCTGGAGATGGGCCGCAGTAAGCGTGTTATATACCCCCTCGAGAGCGATGACACCGGTTTCTCTTCACTGCCAGACGGTCACCCCCGCATCCTCGTCCTCTTTTTTGTTTCTAACGGCCTGGGGCCTCCTTGTTTCGTTCACTCTTTTTGCTCTTCATTTGACTCGTCATGGCCATCGCTGCAGGCAGCCTCTGCGTTTTCATGCCCTTGCGCTACGCTGCTAGCATCCTGGCTATGCTGCAGCTCATCCTCTCGACCATTCTGGCCATAGCGCTCTGGACAGAGGTCTCGAAATGGAGTGTAGACGTGGGTGTTCGGATCACTGGCACTTCCGCGGCGGCGGCTACGTACTACACTATCCTCGCCTTTTCCGCCACGATTGGGTATGTGCTATCCACACCAGACGAGTGTCCACCTTCCTTATCATACTTCAGCACATTCGCCATCTTTGTGCGAGCTCGGAACATCCTCAAGTACTTTGCGTTCTGCTTGGGATGGTCTCTCGGTCTCCAGCTCGCCGTTTCGGCGCTGCAACTCTGGGGTTATGTGTCCTCTCCGCGAAGCGACCTACTAGCGGCATGCCAGCAAGTCCCGGGCATGAATGAACTCTCATGCACGCGGGCATTCTCGTTGAGCATAGGCTGGCTGATCACGAGCATCATAGTAGGCCTGCTCGTGCAACTCTGTACGTCCCCGCATGCCCATGCACACACGAAGAAGCCACTTGCTGACGACATTGTAGGCGCAGCTTACGTCGTCTCGTCGTACAGCACGAAACTGTCCGACGAAGAAGCCTTCAACGAGAAAGGCAATCCCAACATCTCTGCGCCGCAGATGCAGACAGCACAGCCCGCACCGGCGCCCGGAATGGTCTCACGCCCTCACTCGCGTTCCGGCTCCTCAGGCTCGCAAACGCTAGCGGCAGCGGCAACGTACGAGGACTACGGCACGGGCAAGGGTTGGGCAGCTTCCTCGCGTACAAGCACAGACAGCGAGCGTAGTGATGACAGTGGGAGCGAGACGGAAGGGCACTGGTCAGAGAACGAGCGCCCGCCCGTGCCAACACTCGATCCCGCGCCTACACCGCGTCGCAAGCGCACACGGACACCGCGGGTGAAGCCGCGGTACCCGGAGGGCATGGGCCCAGAATCGCGCAACAGCGAGTTCCTAGCAACTCTGCCGCCTACAATGCCTCAGCCAGGCAGGCAGAACACGAACCCCTTCGCTGACCCTGTACTGCGCCCGCCGCCGCCTGCTGTAATAGCACAGGGAAGCTCAAGAAAGAGCACGCCGGTTGATGGGAACTCGAACGCTAGTGCAAGCTCCAGCAAGAATACGCTTTCGGATGCCGCAAGAATGGTCTGACGACGTTAACACCCACGACTGGTTCGTCGGGTTTTACACGATGACGAGATGACCTTCTACGAATACGCGTTTACGATACATGATCTTCTCGTTTTACCTGTTCGTTCTATGTTGTACTTTCGTTCTTCGAGAATAGCGTCATCGTGTTGTTACATTTTATCTTGTACAGTAGTCAATTCATGGGGATGAGGATGTGGTCATACGCGATGGCAGAACGGACGCAGTGGCTCGACTCGGATGTTGCAGATACACCCACCGTCTCCTGCGTTTTTCATTCGGCTGAGGGCGAGGGCGCCTTACCGATGACAAAAGCGAACGTCTGTGTAAGAGGTAAGTAAGCGTCCACGAAATCGACGAACAACTGAGTACCTGGAACGCAGCCCATGGCACGAATTCTGTGAAAGGCGGCCTGGCATCAGTACTGCCCGTCCGGAAAGCCAGTTCATAAAGACATACGAGGCGTCATGTGGCCGCTGAAGTAGAACTCGACGTAGGTGAGGTTCCTCTCCTCGTGCATATTACCATATACGCCATGCACACCAGCGACATTATCGTGCACGATGAACGTCTCGTTCTCAATTGGCGTCTGGAAGCCTTGCAGACCACCCCAGGTCATGTTTCTGACAATGAGGTCAGAACTGGGGGAGCAGGAAAGTGGAATACATTGAACGCACTGGATAGCGATGCGCGTTCCTTCAGCGAGAAGGATGAAGTCCGCAAGACCGTGCACAATGATCACACGCTCGCTCTTCTCGATGACATTCGGCAACACGCTAAGCGTCGACGGGATACTCTGATCCCTACCGCCACGTCCGGTCGTAGCGTTGATGTAGACATTCCCGTTGGCACAGTCGTCCCATGTCATATGCGGGGCATGAATCGCGTCTTGTACGTCTGTGCGGTTGAAGTAGATGAACTCCTGAGTCGAGCGTGGGAAGCCGAGGACGCTCCAGGCAACGGGCCATTGCTCGGTTACGCGGTACACGTCAAATGCCGGGTTCAACCTGCAATGAGTTCAACGCCATGAGGTTGCAGGTCGGCAACGATAGATCAAGTTCTTACGAAGGGATGGTTCGCTCAATGAGACTCCAAACGCGGCAACTCGGGAGGCTGTTGAACGTGCCGTTCGTGCCTACAGGAAGAGGAAGTTGACCGGCCGGCGGGTAAGTCACGAAGCTACACACTTATCAGTCACCACATCAGGATGAGAACATGGTACCAAGGCGCACTCGTCCAAGTAGTCCGTGAAGCCGCAAGCATCGGACATGTTCTGAAGCTGCGCCATGAAGGTCGAGTTGAACGGGAAGACGTTCTTGTTAGCCTGAGCGAAGCGGAGTGCAGGTATATCTTGCTGGACAACATCGTATGAGAGGGAAGGGTCGGCGATGGAAATCCCCTTCAGGTTGAGATCGACCTGGCCGGGGTGCTCGTAGAGGTAGTTGGCAATGTAAGGGACGTCTGAAGCACATTAGCGGAGAGATCACACGGCAAAAACAGGCCAGCGTACAGAAGCCAGCATACTAGAGGGTATATGGTTAGAGCGAAAACGATCAATCGGCTGGCTCTACGTACGCTCTCGCCCGTAACGTAGAAGTCCAGTCCTTTCAGCTCCGAGAAGACCTCCAGGAACTGTTCCAAGAATCCGGCGACCTCGGCGGCAAGTTCGTCGTCATTGGAGATATCGGGGGTCCCTTGACTGAAGCCAGTCTAATACAGCATCAGGTTCGGGAGATGGTGAAGAAGCCACGACACGAACGCCAACAGGTTGTTCCACCCAGACAACGTTCGATAGATTCGTCCAAGACCATGGGTTGAGGGTGGGCGCTGATTGACCCCACGACCACGCTAGAGAATATGATTGAGCATAGCGGGACACGGTGAGGCCGTATGACTTACAGATAGGGCCATTCTCCTGGAGGAATCCCTCAAGAGAACTGCATCCAGGGCCACCTAGAACACAGAGGTCAGTTTGGAGAAGGTGTGACGAGTGGACCCTTCTCGTACCGTTTGTCCAGAACGTCAACGTATCGGCGTTGGAGGCATTATTGGTAGGCCAGAACCAAAAGAAGAGCTTGCGCGTCTCGTTCGAATTGCCAGATATAGGCATCAAACCAGCCCAAGAGGGTCCGGCATCGAATGGCACTGCGAATCCGGTGAGAGAACTCCGGGATCGTCTCAATGTCGAGCGTACCATCAGGTATCTTCGTCCCGTCCACGAAGAACTGCTCGGCGGCAGGGTTAGCGAAAGAGATGGACGATCCGTCCTGGCGCTTGTAAACACCGCGCGAGGGTGCCTCCGCCCTCATGACGTTGTCTATAGCCAGCGAGCGCGCGCGCTGCCGATGCATAGCATCGATGAAGTCCGCAGACACGGCCGTAGCTAGAGCCAGTAGAGCAAATCCCGCCCACATCGTGAAGCAATAGTCAAGACTGGCAATGACAAGATGCCCTTTCTGCATCCCACTTTATACGGGGAGTACTGAGTCATTTCGAAGAGTTGATCATCGGAGGCTGGACGCAGAAGATACGCCGCAGACTGTAGAAGTGTGCCCCACAGCGCGCATACAAGAGTCAGAAAGAGCATCCGCCTGCTCAAACCAACCAGCTGATCAAGCCCGGTATCAGCGCTGGCCCCATCGATGATGATATCTTCAGCCTGGATAACGAGATGTAGGGCGATCCAACTTCTGCAGCACGACCGTATTGCTTTAACAAGCCGCTCACGCCCACGCAAACGTGGTCAGAAGCCCATCCTACGATAACATACTCCCCTGATATTATTCAAGACGGTGAGACGGTGAGAGTCGACATGGTCATGCATACTTGTCCATATGCTCCTTAGAAGTTAGGAAAGGACGGAGGGAGCTCGAGTGGATGTTCAAGAGCCGCTGCCGTCGGCGCATAACGGCAGGCCGTATCGCATGCGACGTTGGAGTGCTACGATTCCGCTTCTTGACATCCGGAAGCAGGCATTGCCGCCGGGCGAAGCATGCGATGGGAGAAAGACGCCTTGGATGATGGTGGGCAGGTCGAAGCGCTGCCGCGTGCACTTCGCGCGCGGTCCGGTCAAGCCCGGACTTTGCCGAGGCGTTGAGGTCGAAAATGCGCGTTGAGATTCGGCCACCATGGGTTGCAGAGGGTCTCCACCATACACTACGTTCTCGATATCTTTGACCACGAATGGCAAGTCGAAAGAAATAGGCTGCTCCTGGCTTCAGGCATCCACAACCTCGCGCTTCCCGGGCTCGACGGTGGCTTCATTGCGACGGGCAGCATGCATTCATCACCACTAGGCTCCAGTATATCGACGTCGAGAACGCTGGAACTCGATACTACTTCTAGCGCGGTCCTTACTCCATACGCTTAGAGCGCCACCTCTCCTTTATCCACGACCCCCCTATAGGATCCACAAAGATACACCTCGATGCGTCTCGTCCTCCCTACCTTCACATTACCAAACCGGGAACAAGGACCAGCCACTCCGCCTCTTCGATCGACTTAGTCGTCATATCTACGAGGCCTTCTCGAGCAGTTTGTGATCGCTGTTGCCTGTTGGGTCTAGGCGCCCAAACGTTCTTATTGCCTTTTTTGGACGTGGCCTTGTCGCTGACTTGGGCGAGGTCTTTGTTGAGGGCACGCCTTGCGGCTTATCGCTCTGGAGTCGACGGTAGCTCTGGCTTCTGTATACCGGTGTCTGTTACTTCTGAGGTGCTCTGTACAGTCTGAAGTTGCTGGACATGTCACCTCTAAGAGCTGTTTGCTGGACACGACCACACCGTCAAGGCTGTATATCTTCTGGATGAGGCACCTCTACATACCCAGATCTTCTGCGGCAGTCTATCAAGAGTTAAGGGAACATACGAAGCAAGCCAACAGTTGGCGCCCTGATCTCATCTCGTACTCCGGAACCGAGCATAGAAGCCCGGTGGTGGCGCCCCCTCGTTTGCACCCCGAGTCTGATGAAAGAGTCCGGCTATAAGTGCACGGCGGAAGGTGCTGTAACTCTACACCAGCTCGACATCGACCGCCTGTCTTGACAACAGTCAACAGCCACTCGCTCTCTTATACACTCGCTTTCGAGCCATCCATCGCACATCTCAGCGGAAGGTCTTCGCCACTTGCGCATACCCGTCAACCTTCACATCCATACCACCCACCTGCTAAGTGCGCCAACATGCGTTTCTTCGCCTTCGCCATCCTGTCCACCATCTTCGCTTCTGGTACGTCCACCACCTTCACCTCTCGCCATGCTCGTACTTACCACTTTCCTACAGTCGCGATGGCCGCACCTACGCCAGCCTCAGTCGACGAGCTCAAGAGGTGTCCCAACATGGAGTGCAGGAACGTCGTAGTCGTACGTCTTCACACGCCCTCCTCTCCTTTCAACAGTCATGCTTAACTCACACCCGCTCGCAGTCCGACTCCTGAAGAGTCCTCTCTTCTCGACGAGGCACTTCGACCTTCCGCGCACCCCGCCTCTGCGCACCCCCTAACCGCGTCCACCAGACGCCGGATTTCATCATCGGATGGCCCACTCTCGTTTACCCGCCTCGCCTCGCCTCGTATCGGATTCATGTTGTGTGCCTCCTGCTTTCGTGTACCTCTGTATAATCCCGGATTGTTGTCACTATGTGTAATCGTAGACTGTTGCGCCGTGCGCATGCTCAACAGAGCCATAGGAATCTATCTATATATCGTGAAGCGTGTATATTCGGTCTGATGAGTCCAGTATGTCATTGGTCCGGCAATTGGAAACTTGAGTCTCTGGAACTACATAAGGTCTCCAGAATAGAACTACGTAAGGTCTCCAGAACTAAGGTCTTCCCTGCTGAGGCCGACGCGGCGCGGACTAGTCCCTACTTGGCGCATGGGCCGGAAAACGCGGTCACGCGACTTGCAACGCGTTCACAAAGTGAGCCCCAACTCGACGTGGGTGATCGAGCACGCTGCACCGTGATACCTTTCACGCTCAAACTCGCCTCAGCAAAGCAATATAATCAGAGTTCGAGAGATATATTGAGATCGGGAAACAGATCGAGAAATAGACTCTAGCATACATCCAAACCCGAGAAAGTCCCCGCCTACAACCGTAACTCCGCGTCGGGAGGCGGGACACGAATCCATCTAATGTACACAAGCAAAACTATATCAGTTCAGCACGAGTCTTTCCGTCGTTCCAGTCAGTAACAGTCCATATTACAGTCCTTGCTACCAAAGGCCGAGAAGTGACTCGGAGCCTCACGCGATGTGGCACCAGCTCGACAGCCGCGCGCGTTTAGTCGGGCTGCCGTCCTCGTCCGAAGCGTCTTCGGAGGATGAAGACGCAGAGGGAGTCGGGGAGGTTGCGCGGGAGGGTTCTTGTTCGATGTCGTTCTCCTCGGAGGAGCGTTTGCGTTTGAGCGATGGGGTGGGCGAGGGGGGTGTAGATGCGGGCGCAGGCGCGGGCTCCGCGATAGCCGGTGCAGCGGTCATCGTCGCAGGTGCAGGCTCGGGCGCGGCAAGCTCGGGCTCAACCTCGCTCTCGTGCGCAGGCGCGGGGTCCGCAATAGCAGGCGCAGCGGTCGTTGTTGCAGGTGCGGGTGCGAGCTCAGGCTCAACCTCGCTCTCGGGCGCATGCTCGTCACTCTCCGCCACGCCGCCTCCCTCATCGCGCGCCCTCCGCCGCGCCATACACCCCGCAACATACTCCCCAAACTCTTCGAGCGGGAGATCCCCCCTCATCCTCTTCTCCCTCCTCTCCCCCTCCCCCTCCCC